CTTAAAGAGAGGTGGGTCACAAATGGCCCCTGACCAGTGATGATTAAAATGCTATCCAGCCAATGGCTAATAGCAGGATATTTGACTGACTGGTTTCACATGCACATAAGCTCATTCTCTGTCTGTCAGAGGACATGTATGTGTGTTGACATGTATGTGTGTTTCCTGTTTTTCTCTTTTTTTATCTCTTCATCCTCATTGTACCCATTTGATTTTTATAATTTTTTTTAGCCATTAATTAGTTGTTGTCAAATGTTACAGTATTTCAATGGAAGGGCTGGTCTTTCAATTTTGAAATCTTGTCTTTAGGTTAAAATTGTTCTTTGACAAAAGTTCTCCCAGCAGCCTTTGTACCCCAGAACCTAACATTACCATCACAAAGTGCAGTACACTGGGATAGCCAGGAATCTGCCATTTGATATTGACATTTTTTTAACTGCAATTTTCACCTTTTGTTGTTGTCAAACTCTGCCCACTTTCACTGTACACAACTATCGATATTTTTGCAATGATCTCTTCTGTTAACAGTTGTAATTAATAATTTGCTGAGGTTAAAATTTAACTTCGTAGAATATAAACTTGGTTTCAATTGGTTATGTGTATGGGGCAACGGACTGACACTAGTAAACATGACCTCGGCAATAGGTTTTAAAATAGAAAAGTCCCAGGAGCGGCTGGGTGACTGCAACCCAATCTCAGTGATCAGATGGTAAACTTTTCATAGTACTTGATGCCCCTAGAACTCCTTACTTGTGTTACAGCTTTGTAAATTCCTAGCAACTTATAGGATTTTGTGTATCAAACCCAAGTGACCACAACCTCAGGATCCTGATGATTGGAAGACCAAATGCACCACATGTACCTGAACTGTTCTAACTGGGAAAATCTGGTTCAGACTAAATTAAGTGTTAAATCAATAAACCTTGCTTTTGATATAGTCATGTCACTTGTGTACAAAGGCATTATTGGTTGCGATGTGCACTATACCACTTCACATTGCCAATCATGTTTCAGAGGGGAAATTACCTTATTGAGAAATTAATTGTAGTTTGCTTGTGATTGTCTATTGAACAAGTCCATCCTTAAGTGCAGGAGTAATGGATGGGGGTGGCATTACGAGTTAGGAGGTGAGTAATATGAGTAGTGCAAAAAAATCTAAGCAATTTTGTTAGGAACTGAATGGGACTCAGGTGAATGTACAACTTGGGCGTTTAAATGATTTATAAATATTTAAAGCTTTGAAACAAGAATTTTATGTACATTAATCTCGCTGCCCAGGAAGGGGATATTTAAAAATCTGTATCTACTACTATCTGTAACAACTTGCTTTATGTACAGCTTTATCTGCTCTAGAATGCACCATTACACAATTCTACAATACTGCACAAGTCCCACTGTCACATTACTCACTTCCTAACTCGTAATGCTGCTCCCATCTATTACTCCAGCACTTACCGGAGGCCTCGAATCATGGGAAATGATGTCCTTGTCCTTTGACGCGTGCGCACTTACCAGCCAGCCGCATTGGATCATAGGAAACATAGTCTTGTCTGTCGACCCAAGCTCAAAACTTAATTTCCCTTGACTCAATGTGATTCTAACGTTTTCTGGTAAGCGCGCATGCTGTGACGGTTGAAGACCCATTGAATCGCAGAAAATGTAGTCTTAACCCATCACTGCATGTGCACTTACCAGCTGCAGTGACAAATTACCACACGTCCCTTACTGGCTGTATTAAATTATGCTTACGCAGGGTAGATTATTGATTAATTTGGAGTTTCTATGACTTCTGCAGCTTGCCTGCACCTCGGATTTTACATAAGTCATATTAAATATCATGGTCCTGACTGATGCAACCTGTGTGAGTTTTACTGTACAAGCTAATTTATAACCTTGCACATTTCTGTAACTTCTTAGTAATGTTTACTAAAGCTCTTGGAGAATGCAAGAAGCTAGGCCTAAACTTTATAATGAGGTTGTGTAACAATTGATGTATTGTCCGAAGAGAATGTGTTAGTTACATAGTGTTCAGCAACTACTCATAGTATTTCTTCCAAGCATGGACACACATGTTTTGATTTGTTGTTTTGTGAAGTTCAAAAGAGAAAAGGCTGCTCATGGCTGCAGCCCTGGCTCATGCCGAGTAGAGTACTGACTCAATAACTAGCTGTTGAATTTGTTTGCAGTGATAAGGATGTGGACTATGAAATTTCACTTAGCAAATGATTTACCAATGTCATCTGAGGTTTTCTTCTGAAGCATTCAAAAGAGGCTTTTGCACAGCTAGTCAGTCTCCATTTGACTGCTGCTAACTGAGTGGCATTTCTCAAATCAAACTCCAGTTCAAAGGATTGTAGTTAAACAGATATAATTTAATACAGCCGTCAAACACTGTTGTACAGTGGAGGTCAGTGCCGTGTATGGGGATACACTTCTCCACTATGATGTTTCTCGTATATTCAAATAAATTGCCGTTGTTCACTCTTCAGGTTATTCACATGGCGGTGACCACTTGAGTTTGATACCAGAAGACTTCTGAACCATTTAGAACTGTAATCTGAAGGTGCTTTAAAGAGTGAAGCAAATTAACTTATTTTTAAAAGATCTTTGGTTTGCAGGGTTATAAATTAAAATGGCATTTGCTATAACCAATCCTGAATGTGTGTTTAGATTTTTCTGGCAGTGAAGATTTTTGTTTTAGTATGGGGATGTAATGGTCTACATTTGTTTTGTCTTGGCATTCAAAATGATTTTGAATTTTCATTGGTTTCATATTGGATTTGGAGTGTGGCCCCGTTATACTATGGATTTTATTAATCTACTGCAAATTTACAGTAAAAATGCTGTTTTTTCCCAACCATAAATCTCAGGATGTTGCTGTTTAACAAAAGCAATGAGAGACCAACTCCAGGAGGTGTCTGGTACCACTTTGTGTTAATGCCAGTTGTCATAGAACTGCAACCAATACAATGCAAGCTTTAATTTAAAAAGTTCCTAGGAGGTCCAGTGGAACGTTATTAAACGTATTATTAAAGAACCAGTTGAAGAACACATACACATAAAAATGTTTTACCTTGGTGGGTGAAGACTCAAAACCGCAGAGACCAGAACATTGCTGGTTTGATTTCTAGTCTGTGCTCAGTTAACTGATCTCATAGGGGCAGTTTAGGGAGTGAGGGGAGAGGTTCAGCAATGAATTTGGCTCTTCATCTCCAATAGTGACTTGCTGAAGTTTATGTGTAGGTGAACATCAGGTGCAGCAGAATCTGACTTCTCCACTATGATGTTTCTCGTATATTCAAATAAATTGCCGTTGTTCACTCTTCAGGTTATTCACATGGCGGTGACCACTTGAGGTTGATACCAGAAGACTTCTGAATCATTTAGAACTGTAATCTGAAGGTGCTTTAAAGAGTGAAGCAAATTAACTTATTTTTAAAAGATCTTTGGTTTGCAGGGTTATAAATTAAAATGGCATTTGCTATAACCAATCCTGAATGTGTGTTTAGATTTTTCTGGCAGTGAAGATTTTTGTTTTAGTTTACTACTAATCTTGTGTTCAGTTCCTATCTCTGAGACAAATTAGGGTTTGTAAGATTAGCACTGGTGCAGTTTCTGACATGTAGATAACAACAACAAATTGCATTCATATAACACCTTCCACGTCAGGAGGATGTCCCAAAGCGTTGGACTGTGAAGGGTTTGCATCTGAGTTGGGGGTTGGAATCAAGAGATAAGATAAATTAGAATTTAACTTCAGAAATTGCTATCTTAAAAGAGAAATCTAATCCTACTTGATGAGGTTAATGCTTCCAGAGCTGCTTCAGGTGTTTAGCTGGTCACATTCAGTACAGCAGTTGTGGTGTACCATTGTTAATATGCTCATGATTAATTATTGTACAGTAGCCCTTACAGAATGTTCTGACATACCAAGAACAAGGAATGCATTGTTTAAAGCTCCTTCAAGTAATGGAAAAAACACGATATGCCTTATCTAATTTATCCCATATTATAGCCTGTTTTGGGTTCGATTTCTAAATGCTGCATTGAGATATTCCACAAAGACAAAGTTGCCCTTTTTTTAAAAAAAATCCATGTTTCACCAATGTATATATACATCTAACTTGTTTTTATACTTAATTCTTGGACCAATCAAAATATTCATGCAATAATTTATCCCTAAAAATAGTTACCCTCCACACACAAATTCATGCCAAGTCAGTATTATGATTTGGTTTTATTCAAATATTTTACTTCAGGTATAAAGCTCAACATCGGCTTGAGATCCAAATTGTTCGATAATGCAAGGATTTTGTTAAGATTGTACTTTTCTTGCCAAAAATATGTAGTTGTGAACCTTTATTTGAAATATGTAACATGCAGCAGAAGATCTTAAGACAGCAAGGGACCGACAATAATGATAATCCTTATGTTAGATATAGTGCCTTTCACAACGGAAGAACGTCTGAAATTATAGTGTATGTGTATTTTATAGGTGAATGTGGCAACCAATGTGCATACAGCAGCGTCCTACAAACAGCCATGATGTGAATGACCAATTTAAATTGGGGGATTGTTAGTCTGGACACCAGGAAAAACTCCATGTAACAAAGTTATCAAATGGGAATCAGTGAAGAGATGGGGGAAGGGTGGGGGGGATTTAGTGTTTAATTTCTGCAAATACCTGTGTTATAATTCACACCTTTGTTTGACTCTGGTCCTTAATTTTATTTAGGAAATGATGTGTTGTTAACAGCAATTCACAGCTAATATTTCTTTCTGGTAAATGATTGTTGTGTTGCCTTGCAAGTGATCACACAAATAAATTGACCTTTGTAAGGTTGGATAGTGAGCTTGGCTGCATTGACACTCATTTTGTTATCACCCACAACTGAGCCTGTGGCTTATATAACCAATATAATTAACATATGCTGTTTTATGTTTTTATACAACCAATACTAGAGGAAAATATTCTGACCAGTTTGTTTTACTTTCTGCAGGCGTGAAGAAACTCAAAGAAGACTGAAAAATGTAAGTATTCTGCATTTTACTAGTGGTGTCTGTGTTGTCAACATAATTTGCTAATTCATAACAACAGACGTGTTTAAAATGGCTTATAATATTCATGCACAAAATATTCCAATTGTGACCTTTTATAAGGTTAGAATAATACCCGAACCTCCGTTCTACCATTAGTGAACTTGCCTTCAGCCACTAATGCCATAACCTCTGGAGCTCTCTGCCTCACCCCTCTATCTATTACTAAATCTGTCTCCCGTCACTTCTTCATACAGTCACCTCCCCACTTTCCTCTTGTCCCTTCCTTGGCATTCAACCCTGCCATTGTACTGTGTTCTGAGAAGCTGTCCTCTGTGAAGGGTGCGACATAAAAGCAAGTAGTTGTTCAACTAATAGTCAAATGCTCTTGAGTTCCAAACTAGTATTTGATTAGCTTTAATAGCAGCTTCACATATGACTGTAAACATTTAGTGTCTTGTTTCTTGTGCCTTTAAAGGATCACTGTCAGCTTGCCACCTTGAATTCCTTTTCTTCTGTTAAATGATTATAATCATATTGCATGATGATTAAGGGGAGACTACACAGTTTACAATCAATAGTGTTAAAGTTGGCTCAATCTTATCCAGAATATTTGATTCACAGTATCCTGCATGCAGAGTCTGGATACACTACAGAAAGGTCTGCCTATAATTAGCTTTTACAAGTCCCTCTTGTAACCATGCATCTGGATTGTGTTAACGCCAATATTTTCAAGAAAAGTTTTTAAAAAGCTTTCAATGACCTACACAGCACCATTTACTTATTCAGTATCTAGCCTTGGATTCTGTTTTTCCACCAGAATCTCAATATCGTGGGGATCCTAATTTGCTTGCATAAACTACATTTATTAGTTCTGTAAATTTCCACGCTCGCTTTTCCCTTCTCCTTCCTGATTAAATTGGAGAGAACCACTCGATGTCCAGATTTATGAAACTAATTTTAAATACTACACAATTTCTTGAAGCTTTTCTGCACGACAAAGTAGAAGATGACAGTGTAGGTGAATTAAATGCGTTTCCAGTTTTAATACCAAAGAAAGGAAGCATTTTCAAATGCAGATCAAGGCTTCTTTTTACTGTTTAACAACATATTTTTACTCCAGTCACCAGAAGACTGTTCTCTACTGAACTTCATAAGATTGATGAATTAGTAACACCTATAATGCTGAACTACATGTACAACAAAATAACAACAAAATTACATTTGTAAAGCACCTTTCACATCGGGAGGAGGTCCCAATATTGTGCTCTGCATTGTCACCCTATTAATTTAAATTTTGAGTTTTACAAACTGAATTGACACCACATGTTGAGCTCTTAAGGCTGGACATTTGTGAGTTCCAGAAAAAAACATATATGATATATGTTATATATATATATATATGCAAAGTTATTGAGGTTCCATTTTCCTTACTAACTGCACTCCCGAGTCATCTACATTCACTGTTTTTCACACATGTGGTATGTTTGTATCAAAATAGCGTTTTCATATTTTAAAACTTGCCAACAGACTGGTAGACTGACAGGCTCCCAAACACATGAATTTCATATCTGTGGCAGTTTCAAACCCACGGTGTTTTTTTTAAACTTAGAAACACGATTGTTACCAACTGAGTCAAAATGATGCTTCTTAACATAAAAATATATAATTTTAAAGTGCTTGTAGATTTGACAAAACACAGCAGTAATTGGTTTCAGGTTTGCAATTAAACTGAACAAACTGGTGGGCAAAGAACTATAAAATGCTTCAAAATAGGAATTAAAATAGGGAAATTGAAAGGATTCAGGGTTATTAGATGATGACATTGGTGTATTGAAGAAAAGTCTTGGGAAGTTCAATGGGTAACCTAGATAGATAGTCCAATGGTGTGTTCTGCCTGAAACATACTATGTATGATTTGTGTTCTTTTAAGCAACTAGAAAAATAAGTTACAAAATGATATAAAACTAAATTTAGAAAATCTGCCCACTTTGTAAAATGGAAAAAGAGGGAATTTATACTTACAGTACATACTGCATTGGCTACACAAACGCCATAACTTCTGTCCCACACTTAAGAAGGAATGCTACACACACAGTAGGAAGAAAGACAAATGAGCTATAAATATTTTGATCATGCCTGCCTGTAAAGCCAATCCTTCCAGATAGCCACCCAGGAGGTTACAATGGCTGTTGCCTGCCTTGTAATTCTGACCTCTTTTCATTCCCCTTCTCTCCCCCACTAATTGTCAATCTACTGGTCCGGTTCACACAGTTGTAGGCCTGCAGTCTAGTACCAGACACAGTGCAGCAATCTAAACAAAAGGAAAGTACAACATGGTACAGTGAAAGTGGACAAACACCTAGGTCCATGTAAATGCTTGGTGTATAACCTCCACTAGAATGGTTTATTATGGTTTCTTGTTTTATATGGTCTTGTCTTATGTTTAATAATTCAAATGGATCATTGTGGCTGTTCTTTTCAGGTTTTGATCACCATATATTGGCTTGGAAGAAGAGCACAGAGTGAGCCTCAATACAATGGACCTTACCTTAATCTGAAAGCATTTGAAGGATTACTAGGGCAAACTCTGACCAAGGTAGGTTGTAAATATGTTTAATTGCGCTATGAGGGAGAAAGTGAATGTGATTAATAGCTAGCTAATTCTTGTGGTATCTGACCAGGCAACTTGAAAATGTACCCATGATTTATATAAGATTGTAGATTACAAAAAGTGGATTGAATGCTTAATGTGTTTGAATTGAAGATTTGATTCAGTTTGAAATCCATATTAATTGCAATTTTTTGGGGAGGTCAGCCAGGTGTTTGATACATGCAGAAACCCATCGCCATGCTTGAATATCAAACCAAACAGAACTCCATGCATCCCAATACGTGGAAATTTTTGAGATATTTATTGAAATGGAATGCGAAATCTCTGCCTGGGGGGACTCATCCTGCTTACCTAATTCCAGAAAGTATTAAGTTTAGATTGGCAAGTGCCAAAACTTAATTAGAAATATTTAGTGCTACTTAATTAGTAATATGAGTGATAAGACTTAATATTAATGAGGAAGGAGGTGAAAAAATACCTCAACATGTGTATACACATATGAATGACTGGCATTACAAATTCAAAATGCTCTGAGTGGCTTTAAATTCATTGTAATGCGCTTTGTTCTGGTTGGTTTGCTTATAGTTTAATTGCAGTGTGGACCCAAACATTTACTTACAAAAAAAATGCAACCCGAAAGCCAGCCAGTTCCATTGTGGAACATCGCATTTTAAATCCTATGATAACATGATGATAACATGAATTACAATGATGTGCTTTGAAACATGAAATTGCAATTTGAAGTATGACGTGTACTGATGGAGCAGCCAGCGGGCTTTCTGTGTGCGTGCACTGTGACTTCACCAGGCACCATCGATGACAGAACATATGGAAATTGCGCCATGCTATCGGGCGGCTTGGAATTATATGGGTGACAACTATTGCCTTACAATGGGGCATTTTAGTTGCTATTGAAAGCTAAGAAATCGAATTAGCAAGTATATACAAATTGAAAATTGTTTAATCAGAATAAAATTGTGTAAGCTATTGACATTTGTTTATTTGTTCACACTCAGTGTAAATGTAAGAATCTATCCAGCACAAAGAGAATCAGTAGCAACCCTGTCCCTTTTAAGAAGATCATGCCTGAACTGATGCTTAAAATGAGTAACTCTTGTGGTGTGTGGAGGCAGTATGGGGAAGTTGGAGTGGGAAATCTCTTTCAAAAATAGTTAATTATTTTAGCTGCTGTAGTGGATCTTGCATTCATGCATTGGCGTAGCTATATTAGGCTATGATTATACGAGTACATCTGTACTTGATTCTCCTGCATCATTCTTTTGTAGCATTAAACAATGGGATAAAAGTCCAATTTAATATCTGATTTTGAATATGTAATTACCTTACAGGTATTACAACATGGGATTGATGAGGAATTTATATTGGGAGAATTGTTGATTAGGAAATTGGAAGAAACTTCCTTCTCTTTTCAAATAATATCATGGGATTTTTAATGTCCACCAGATCATGGTCAGATGGTACCTTGGATTGACCTCTCATCTGAAAGATGAAACTTCTGGCAATACAAATGCTCCCCCAGTACTGTATTAATAATATAATCCTTGCCTTTGATATAGTGCCTTATGTTGTTGAGACGTCTCAAAGCGCTTTACAGGATATCCTCTGTAAAGTGTAGTACTGTGCGCTTTGTAGGTGAAACGCGGCAGCTAATTTCGCACAGCGATGTCCCACAAACAGGAACGAAACTTGCCTAAGATTTTGCCCTGCCCGCCCAGGAATTAAATCGAACCCGGGTCCTCTCACTGGATTCTTAGCTTGAGTCCTGACATGGGGCTTGAAATGACCACTTGCTGATTCTGACACTGTGCTATCAACTGAGCTAAGCTGAAAACTGTGCCACTATGGGGACAAAAGACCCTTTGGGATCTTGTGGGTGGGAAATGAATTGGGCATGAGTATGTTAGATGGGAAATGAGTTCCAAAAATGGGGAAATCAATCAATAAATGCAGAATGAAAGGAAATATTTGGAGTAAAAACCATAAATACCCTAAATTCAAGCACAAAATCTGATGTAAGTTAGATTTATAATTTATCATTGCAGTTTTGAAATTTGCTGTTTAAAATGAAATAAATTATTCTCTTCAGGCACTTGAAGAATCTAGTAGTCTCAAACGAAGTGGAAGAGATAGTGGATATTGTGATATCTGGTGCGCTGAAAGGAGTGAATCACCTATTGTAAGACATAGAAGGGACGACTCATTTGACAGTTTGGACTCTTTTGGATCGAAGTCCTTTACGAGCCTCTCATCTGAAGTAACTCTAAAGGGCAGTAGTGAAGGTAAGAAATATTTGTTTAATTCTGCAAATGAGCAACAAGAAGATGGTGGTCACATGTTGGTTGTTTTTCTCTTTGGGTAACTTTTAACTAGTGATGGTAATTATAATTATAATAATCCTTGCACTTGATATAGCGCCTTATCATGTCTTCTTAGACATCTCAAAGCGCTTCACAGAATATACTGCAAAGTGAATTGACTATATGTTTTGTGGGCGAAAAGATCTTTTGTGATCAATGTTTTTGTGGTTAAAATCAAGCAAAATTCACAATTTAGTGGCTTTAGTCTTTCACTTTTTACACAAAAGCAGAATAAATTGAATTGCCTATGTTTTGTTTGTCCTTTGCGGAATATTCTGCCTGAACGAGAATTGAAAGCATCTAACACTAGTATGAAAATAATTTGTGCACAAGGGACTTTATCACAGTCTATTAACAGATTTCTAAAAATATCACCATGATTGCTGTCAGTAATCTGTGAACCTTCAGCAGAAGTGATCCAAAGAAAACTTAAATAGGCAGTACATGTTGGGGGCAGTGAAACAGTCCGGAGAGCTGTAGTGGCTTAAACGCTCTTACTTTTAGAACTGTATTAAATATTTGAATAAAAACTGCCGTTGAAATCTTTGCTGAAATAATTCTATTCTTGCTGCAGGTGGTGGGAGCGATATTGAGTCAGAGTTTCTAAACGGCAAAATGATGGATGGACACAAGGATGACCTGAGTGTTCGCAGGTTTAATCTGACTGAGCCTAAACCTGTTGATGCTTTTAATAAGTTTTTGCCTTCCAAAAGCAAACCCATAGTATATTTGCCAGCTCCGCTGAGGAAAAAACGATTGGAAAGAAATGAAGATAACAGAAGAAGTTGGGCAAGCCCTGCATTTACAGAAGCTGATGGCTCATTTTCAAGGTACTTTGACTTTATGAGTTTTCTGCATTTAGTTTTATTCTGGTTGTTAGGCAATGCTGTTCTGTTAACTGGATATATTGACCAAACAGTTGGAAAGTTATTGATCCTTAATACATTTGTAAATATTTCTTTTTTAAAGAGATTTGTCGGCATGAGTTTTGTATTTATAGTACGTTTTAAATAATCCTATAAATGTTTTTGACATCTGATCTCTTCTAATGCGGCAGTGGGGTCATACAAGGGAGGGGAAAGGTTAGCCAATTTTCCCACTCCTAATCGTTATTCAGTGATCTTGATGCAAATCACTTGCATGTGTGTTTCAGATGCAAGTGGGATCAGGTTCAGTTGTGATGATACTCTCCTTTTTCTCCCCCACATAGTCAAATAAATAATTTGATACTCTTTCATCCACCTCGCTCAATGAAGACCAACTGCAGAATCATTTTCTTTCTGATGTTCAGATGCTACATGCACGGCACAGCTGATCTGTCTTATAAGGGGCTCGTATGGAAATAATCTCCAAGCTGTGATTTCCTATTGGTACATTCAAGTGGTTCCAAATGCTATCTGTAGCTGGTCCCAATGCTAGTTTCTCTTCCTCCTCTCCCCAACCAAGGAATACATTGCATTCAACACATTGACATCAATGATGTATATGGATGTGGGTTTAAATGTGCTGGTGCTGAATTTGCAGGACTAAGGTTCATCTCTCTTATCTTTCAACCAAATAATGTAAGTGAACACTACAACAGTATGCTCTCTGGCCACTCCAATAATGGTACTCCTAATATATTGGTAATGGCAGAAATTAATTCTGTATTTGTCTTTAATGCTGTTCGACATGTATTTTCTTGAATTGCGTTTAGTTTGCCTGTTACCATAGTCTTCAATGCAAATTGTTATCTTAATTGGTCACAGTACAGCAACTGTGAAGTCTGCCCAAGAAGGAAGTGTTGCTTATGGTGTGGCTGCAAATGATGCTTCCACTGGGGATGTGGGTGGAGCACTTCTTGAGTTTCTATATGACTACCCTGCAAGTGAATCTGAATCAGATAATGAAGGAAGAGACCCTGACCTGGTGTTGGATGACTTGGCACATCGCAAATTTGGTGCTCCTGTAGGTTTTACAAGGCAGAAACTTCAACTGCAGCCCAGAAATCCACCTGAACAATCTTTACGGGCGGTGCCCCCAACTAGAACTGTACCTGTCTTATCAGAAGAAACCAAGAAATCCGGCAGGTCAGGAATAAGCGTGATTTGCTATGGCGTGCAGCTTTTGAAGCTTCAGCTAACCACCATTTTAATGAAATCTTTTAGTTTATGTTCAGTGCTTTTATGTTGACTTGAATTACAATGCAAAAATATTGCACATTGTTCCACCAGTGGCTCTTTAGTTACTATATCTGCCTGTGTAGAACTTTTAACTTCAGCTCCATTGCTGTGTGCCTCTGCAGCGAGTGGTGTGGCCTTGAAGTGATGACTTTGAACTAACCATTAAATATCAGGTTTAACTTAAGAATGCTGAGATGTTGCAAGAAGAAAGTATGTTTTTGGCTGCTGAACATGTGCTGTCAGAGAAACCCACTGACTTACACTGGATCACTTTTCATACAGCAGCCAGAGGCAGCTAAGTGATATCAATGTGGTGAGTGGGGATTCTGCTGGTCTTTCCCAACCCCCTTGGGATGAATCCTCTTCCGATGAGGATAAAGAAGCTATTCCAGATCTTGAAAAGGATGACCTCTACACTCGTAAGCTGAGTCCAATATTGCCAGGGACAGGTGTTGCTTTTGACAGATTTCTCCCAAAGCACTGGACTCGAGAAGAAGCAGAACGATGGAAAAGAATACAACTTGGCTCCCAAAGCAGACCTTGGTATAAACAGCTTCAGTACATCAGGTTTGTCTTTGCCTGCCTCATTTAAACTATGTTTAAAGTGGAGATGGTAAAGGAAGATTGATTTACAGTGGAGATCTGCAGTGTGCTCATATTTAGGCAGTTTTGTTTTCAAAGTTGCATCGCTCGCTCCTTAAACCTTGACTGTATCACTTGATTTCTCTTTTCAACATGAACTTGAACCTATTTCCTTCTGGTTTCCATCCTTTACTTTTAAATCCAATTATTTGAAAATATTTTACTGCACTTTTTACATCTAAATTAAATTCTACATTATAAAAACATTACCATTTATTTGAATCAATAGTTGTCAAAATAAAGTGCTTTGACATGTTTGCTCCATGTGAAAGGTGCTCTACCACATGTTAACTGTATTGTAAAATTATGTAGATTTTCTTTAATGACTGAAGAATTGCCTTAAATACTGCTTTACTAGGTGTCCGAGTAAAACCATTACTTCTTCAATGAATCCTATTTCTTGAAACCTTTAAATCATTCCCTTAACTGTAAGAGGTGGCAATTGAAGTAATTGGTTAAGTTCAGTAATGCTGGGAATTTAGTTATGGGCTTCACTTCACAGGCAATTTGGGATACTAAAGGTTTAACCTATGGTATTTGAAATGATTGCTTTAGTAACTCTTATATATCTGTAAAGAATTGAATAACTAACAATTGTGAAATTAATCAAATACATTTCTCATTGAGACTTGGGGAGTGAGAGAGAAAATAACTAAGATACAATTGTCCAAGTGGAATATAATGTAACAAAATACAATATAATTGACTGTGGATGGCAAAGTGCTTATACGTGCTTTAATGAGGCCATCAACAACTTCCTTTAATTCTGTTTCTCCTTATAGTGTCTTGCTTGCTGATCAGTTGTACAATTGTACTCTCCTGTTTAGCATAAGTTTCACTTTTCTTATTCTCTTGCTCTTGTATCCTCCAACTGCAGAAGGAAGTCACCTAAGTTGGAAGAAGATTTAGAGTCTGATGCCTGTCTTTTCACTAGTAACACACGTGATAATACAGAACAGACCCAGGAACACAGCACTGCTGATTACTCTAGGGTGGATTCTTGCCTTAGTATACAGACAGTAGAATCTGCAGTGGCAATATCTGGTGGAAGTGCAGAAGATGGCACTTGCAATTTATATGAACAAAGGTCGACTTGTTTGTATGATTTAAATTGAACTAATAGTCTTAATCATTCAATTATTCCACTATGTGGACATACACCCCAAAAATGTAATGGACGTGCATCCCAAAAATGTAATGGACGTGCACCCCAAAAATGTAATGGACATGCACCCCAAAAATGTAATGCAGTTCCTTAAAGCTGGTTAGATTTGTTTTTTTTAATTCAAAAGATACTGGATGCAGCATGTTACAGTATATGAAAATCTATTTTTTATTAATTTTATTTGCAACATCAATCAGTCCCTGTGGACACTTAATGTATAATTCAATTCAACTTGCCTCCTTTGATATAGATGCCCTTTAAGACTTGAACGATTTATATAACTGAGCTGAAATGTCCATTATACTTTATAGCATTGTCTGGAGGACAGCTAGCACACTATTGCAGATCATTTTGTACTCTAGGTGGTAATGAGCACCAAATAGTCCAAATTATTGCTGCTTTATAGTAAGTTTGAATCTATCTCATAAATAGTAGATAATTTATTATCAATGCTTTTCTGTCTGTTTCAGCCTTTAACTCTTAAATTTCATCTTGATATTGCCCAAATGCAGATTTGTTTCTCTCTCTTGCTGTTCCACTTACCAGTAAATATTTCTTTCCTCTTTCTCTCTTTTTTGTACTGTTTTTTAAAAAAAACGTAGCCCATTTCCACAACGTCAAACTTTATACGCGAATTCTACTAATTCCGAATTGGCAGACTTCTCTGTTCCGAGACCAAAGCTGAATCCTGCGGCAGGTCCTAGAATTGTAATGCGCAAACAGAATTCTTTCCTTACACCTCGTAACCATCTCGCTAAACACGAGGAGGAGGACCAGGACTTGGAACCAAATTTGGAAAACGACGATATGTTCATTCGGAAAACGGCTGCCTTCCACCCTAATCTCGACCTGACTCATTTGTTCAGTGACGGTTGCAGAAGTTTGGAATTGAATGACTCTGTTGAAAGGATTGTTACCCAGAAGAGACGTGACAAAAATGTAATACCAGATCCGGAAAAAGATGATGTGATCATTCGAAGAGAACTTCATTCTCAAGCAAAGAAATTAGTGCCATCTGGCGCACCAGACAAATACATCCCTGTTCCATTTCCAGAGCCATGGACTTTGCCCGAGTGGCTCCGCTCCAAATTTCTTTGTCTGCCTGAAAAAAATCTCTCTTCAAAGGAGGAGATGATAGAAAAGAAATGTGAGAGTGCATCACCCCACCCAGAGAAAGACGACATGTTGGCTCGAAGAATAGCCTTATCACAGACTAGTGAAAAGGGGCACCCTAGCAACTTTGCTCCTGGTTCATGTAGTGAGGAGGACATGAAGAAATGGGAAAATATAAGAGAGGCCAGCAGATTAAGACATAAGAAGAGGCGCCTGATTGAGAGGTCAGAGTGTGTAGCGGCTACCAATGTGCATTGCAGCCATGTCGCTTGAGTTGTCTGACAAATGCCTCTCTTACTGACTGACTCGTGCATGTTGTGTGTGAACATGTGGAGCTTATGTTACTTTCTTTTCATGTATTTCTTTTGGTTTACTTTTTACAAAGGGAAAATTGAACAAGCATGAGTTGATACTAACAACCGTATTTTTGCCTTTGATGTCCCTATATACTATTTCAACCCCCAATTGTGCTTTTGAACTAAGACAACAACTTGCATTTTATGTGGTGCCCCTCATGCAGAGTAGCATCTCAGAGAGCTTAGGATTCATCCCAATTTAGAGTGCCAGTTAATGTGTATTCCAGTTGTAACAAGTAAACATCAAACTTCCATGTTTCTAGAATTACCATTCTGAGCAAAGTAGTGGAATAGGGTTCAGTTTGGGTGCCACCATTTATAACGGTCCAAAGTGAATTGAAGCAAATAGCTTTGGAGCTGATGGGTTCAAAATTTGTAGGTAATTCATCCTTTAGTTCACATTTTTTTGCAGAATTTCATTGAACTTCCTTTACCAAGCCTGGGAATATCATGCAGCCTTTAACTTGTGTTCTTGCAGAGCTAGGAATAAATTGACCTTTTAATGCATCTGAGGAGAGTGAAGGACTGCACTGTATTATAAAAATGCTTTTCATGCTTAAGTGTTATGCCTCTGGTTGGTTGGTTAAAAATATTAGCACTGTAAAATGTTGATGTGCATTTTGGAGACCAAACAATGATAAATAATTGCGTGTTTGGATGAAATGGTATATTTGAGAAAATAAGTTGCGCAATAATATTTTAGCACACTTTACCAATGCTATTCAAAGTAGAACGTGTATTGAGTAGGTTATTTCAAATAGTACTCTGCTTCGTCACAAAATAAATTTGTTGAGAAATTGCTGGGGAATGGCCTTCACGGCTTCTTCAAAGGATATCAATTCAAACTTTACAGGAAGATCTGAACATAATTTTTCATTTTTATCTTCACTAAACCCTGGACATCTCAGTATGGATAACTTACTACTAATAATAATTATAATAGTCCTGCACTTGACATAGTGCCTTGTTGGATTGATTGTGTGTTTTGTGAAGGAAACCCAGCAGCCAGTTGGCACAGCAGTGTCCCACAAACAGCCATCGAGAGAGTAATGAAATTTATTTGGGAGGGTGGTTGGGCAGGATACTGGGAGCAATTCCCTTCTCTTTTTAAATAGTGTCATGGGATCTTTAACGTCCATTTGAACAGGCAGATGGGACCTCGGTTTAACGTGTCACCTGAAGGACGGTATCTCTGACAATGCAACACACCCCCTCTACTTTTGTAGTATAAACATTTGTTCAACTTGTTCGTGACTTACTATTTTTGACACTTTTAAGTCATGGAGAGTATAAATGTTCTGTGTAGAGGGGAAAAAAAGGTACATTTGTAAACCTAGTGTATTCTCTTGGTTATTTAAATGTGAACATGGGGAAAGAGGGGAAGTCGCTTGGACTTCACTTAGTTTCTCGTTCAAATCTCCATTTCTTAACCAGCTATATTATATAAATTGTGATCTAGATCATCTCTAAATTCAGTTTTGCACCACACAGGGCATCAGAGTTAAGCCTATGCTGGTGCTAGCTCGTCTGCAGGTATTGAAATGTTTTTTGGTTACTTTACCCATTGGGACTCAGTGATTCCAATTCCTGCTCATTTCCATATCCTTTTATATTGTTAACTATTTGCCCGTTTGTGACATTAGCATTCAACGGTTTGCAACAATGTCTCTATTTAACTGCAGAATGATTTTATAAATGTTCTGCATATATTTAATGTAAAAACATTATAGCCTCACAATTTTTGGCATTGTGCTCACTTGCCTTATTTAAGTGAACCAGCTTCTTTTTGCTGTAACACTGTATTAGCATTTCAGAGTAGTTGCTATAGACTGAATGGATGAAAAATTTCCAGATCATCTGCATCATTCAGAAGTAAATCCAGCTCCATTAGAGGTTTCATGGTTTGGGTTCCAGTCTTAATAGTCGGTTGAACTCTCCTACCCTCAAGTTGATTGATTTCCAGTCCATTATTGAGACCAAAGGAGATTTTTGGCTTATTGGCATTAGTAGTAAATGTGAAGAAATTAGCAACCAGGCTACCCTGACAACTTTGCTGAGTGGGAAACTTTACACTGAGGTAAAGTAACAGGAGTCTATGATTGGGCGGAAAGGAATAGAGAATAGTTACCCTCTTCCTTTCCCGAGCTTTCAAACTGAATGCCTCAAATAATTTTGAAGTTTGAGCATTGCCAACAGTAAACTAGGCATTTCCAGCAATCAGAAAACCTTGGATCAGCTATAACAGAACTGTTATTTGAAACAGTAGAAAGTGCTTTTATATATTTTAACTGCTCTTTCAAGAAGCAACTTGCTTTTAATCAAATGCGATGGTAAATTCGTACCATGGCATTTTTGTTTGCAAAAGCTAATTTGTTTTGATTTAAGCATTGCATGTTTTGTGTACATTTAACCTAGAAAATGATTTTGAACATCCATTCCATCACAGCAGAAGCCATGCGAACATCCTATTTCTATTTTAGCAGCGACTTCATTTATTGTACATCATAAATAAAGGACCACAAATTGAAAAATGTTCAGTCATTTTATATTAGGAGCAATAGTGATTTTTATCTTTTAGTTTGATAGTGACTAGCTTCACTTTGTGCTGTATGTTTCCATAATCACTTCACATATGTTAAGTTTAAAACCTTCTTCGGTATTTCGTAGTTTAAAAATATTTCACACAGAGTTTTGCTGTTAAAATGACGGTTGCAGCATTTGTTATATTATGGAGTTGGAGCTGATCAGGAAAGTTCTTGTAAAACGTCAGGTTGTGTAAAACCTTTATGTATAAATTATTTCAAAATAATTTCTCATTTTTGCAACTGCCAGTACCAAATATTGAACACCATCTATTGTAATAATAACGCAGCTGTTACATGTTGTCTTTATTGGTTTTCTTCACTTCTATAGACTGCTTGAAAAGTCAGCTGATATTGATTTAGGGTAAGTTTTTAATGCAGGCTTAGAGCTTCATGGTACATGTGCTCTGTTTTTTTTCTGTGGTGTGTGTGGGCTCAACATGAATGCAAAAAGCTTGCAAAGGATGCTAATTAAACATTGTACCACAAAATAGTCCTTTGTCTCTTGCTCTTTCAGCTGGCTGATGCAGTTTACATATACTGGTACTCCAAAACATACAGTATTGAAAACAAAATAAATTTACAGCTGCATATTTTTCATCATCTATGGAAGAACAATAAAGTCACATCATTGTATTAAACATCAACATAATTGTTATTACAGAATTACTTGAGACTAATTAATTCATCAACTGTATCAGTTTCCAATCTTAATTTTTCATCTGAGTTCAATTGATGCATCTCTCCCACAAAGTAGTTACCTGAATATATCTGCAGCTGTGTACAGCATGAATCCTGGATGCAATGTACATGTTTAAGCCATAGGGATGTGATCACATCCATTTCACTGATGCTGCGTCCACTAATTCTGGCCTCATAAATCCTGCTGATTACAGAACACTACCATAGGATTTTAAAACCAGTTTTAACTCTTTTGTAGATAGATACCTACAGTGTATGCATTTATATAGGGAAAATAATGTTCTGTAACTATAAAATGTTTGAGAACAATTTGTTCTGTACAGTTTTTTCAACTGCTCTCTTTAGTCCTATACATAAAATACAATAGGCAATTGAACCTATACCTTATCACTCCACAACACAACTTATTTTGTGCACAACATTTTTCTGTTCATTGCAATTTAAAAAAAAAATCAGTAATAGACTACTATTTGTTTTACTATTTTATATGTCTCATTTTGGTTAATGGCTCTTATAAGAACCATTGACAGACATTTGTGCTAAATTAACTGCACCTTTATCTGAATAATTTAACATGGCATATTGGAGGCAAACCAAAAAGTGAGGAAAATGAGCATTGTGCTTCTCAGAAAGCTTACCTTTTGTTTCATTCTAGTTCATAACTGAATTAATCCACAAAATAATGAAAAATGTTGCAGTTGGCTGCAAAATGATTTTACTATTAACAGTACGCAAAGTCCACATTGCATATTTTAGCCTCTTTGTCACATTATTTACATAAAAAAGCTATTTAAAATAATTAGAAAGCCTTTAGAAATGTGGGGGTGTGGGGGCAATCCTAATAGATTCTCAGTTAGATTTTGAAATGTGTAAACTAGCTGTAAATGTGCTTCCATCTACCGTGCCCCTTATAACCCCAAACTAAACAATCTAAGATGCCAACATGCCATGAAGAATGATGCCAGGCACCTGTCGGTACAAAGATTTACGAAGAATGGACAGCATGGAAACGGGATACACTGCCCAATCAGTCCATGCTGGTGTTTATGCTTCACATGAGTCTTCACCCATATCTTGGTCCCTCCTATGCCCTTTTATTCACCCTCTTTGGGTAGAACAACAATATTGCCAGATATAAACTCTCTGATAGCTCAGTGGATAAATACACTGTGGGGGTGTGTTAGTAATAAAGAGACCAGGAAGTGTTGATCCTTGACCTATGTTAAATCACATGTTCCTGCAATAAAGACAGCAGTATAGTTGGCCTCAGCATCCCCTGGTTGTGAAGGGAGGACTCTAGTGGAAATGATTACAATTCCTCTTCCTGATGTGAGTAGTTGAAAGGTGTGTGTACATCACTGCTGTGTGGAGACAGGATCATGCCCAGCTGTAGTTTTCTCTTTACCACATTCAAACTCAAACAAGGAGGTTACATTGGTCCATGTGTAGAACTGTATTCTAGTATTGATTTGCACGTCATGGAAACTAATACAGAGAAGGAAAATTTGGCACCTTTACAGGAAGAGCAACCAGTCTTATCAGACCTCATCAATCTAAAGAAGAATTGAAACATCAAAAACGTAAAACACAATCGAAACTGTTAATTGTTAGAATGCTGAGATTAAATCTTAAATTAAGGAAATCAAATAAATGTTTATATTTAATTTATAAAATGTATTCCTTTCCACCTCTTGTATTCGGCTCTAGCTAGGACTCTCCCTATTCAGCTAATGAACACTTCCAGGCTTACAATGCAAACAGTGGGGTCTATTGTAGACCAAGTATAAACAGCTGTATTCTATACAATGTGTAAATACATGTGTAGAAATGGAAATACAAGTGACCCTACAGATATATTTAAATCGGATGCATGATTTATTATATAATTAAAACTAATTTTTTGCTATGTTGCTAATTCCATACTTAAGGGCAACCTTGCACACATTTACAGTGGCACATAATAGACTTAATATCCTATGTATGTAGAGCAGAGCAAGACATTTGTTTTAAAATATCACAAAAACTTGAGCTGCCTTGCTTGTGTGAGGCTTCACATTCACATTGAAGGTTCTGCTCATATTGGAATTGGAGCAGAACCATAACAGAGTCGACCTTCTACAAATCATAATAATACACTGATATTTGCGCGCTTCATTGTAAGCAACTTAATAACGATCTTTTAGAGGGCACAGAAATAAATTACTCCCCAGGTCAGTGCTGCAGCTTTTGTGGTATATGCGCTTAACACAGCTGGCCTGCTTCTTGCCTCAACATTTACGCTCTGCCATCTAAGGCTTAACAGTGCAGGCACAAAGCAGCATTGGGCTTTGTTTCAGCTTTATTTAACTTTGCTGGCTGTTAACGCAGATTCCATGCAAAATGGACGTGCTTTCAATGTCTCAAGTTGAATTATACGAATATAATGTTTTGTTATATGTGATTGTTGTTACTAATGTGTATTATGAAACTTGTGGAGTCTTGTAGCTCAGTGGTTAGAGCACTCGCTTTGAAAGCGAGAGACCTGAGTTCAATTCCAGGCAGGGCAAAACCTTGGGCAAGTTTCCTTACTCCACCCGTCTAATAATCCTCCAAAAAAAAGAAAAAAAACCAAAAACAATAATAAATTGGTCATTTTCAATCTACGACTGTTTGTGGGACATTGCTGTGTGCAATTGGCTGCCGCGTTCGCCCACAAATATACAGTCAATTCACTTTACAGTGTGTTCTGTGAAGCGCTTTGGGACGTCCTCCCGACGTGAAAAGCGCTATATCAAATGCAAGGATTATTATTATTAAATGATTTATAGCTAAATATGATTGCCAAACAATTGTTCAGTGAAAAATCTTGGGTCCTTGTGGGTGAATATTGATTGTGGGTATAACACATTTACCAAGGTGATTTTGGTTCCATAAACCTGGTCCCCCACCCTAAAATTCGGTGTGAAAAAATTGCCAACTTCCAGGTCATCAGTGTGGAAAAATGGCCAGTCAGTGCTGCAAGCTGGGTACACCTAGTCCCACGCTAAACTGGTAGTGTTTTAGAACAGAGATTTCCCTTTCCACATGTGGATTGTTGGAGTTTTTATTTTTGATTCATCTCCCATGCCATGAACTGTTCCCTATTCACGGGCAAACAAAAAAAAACTGGTATTTGGTGAACTAAAGTCTCATGAATATTTGGATGTATTAAACTATCAATTATTCCTATAAAAATGTATCAATGCCTAGATTTTTATTTATTGCAATGAATGAATTTCAATCAGCAAGCACATCGATTCAAATCACAATTTTTACAAAGCATCAAAGAGCATGGGATATTGGTATTTTATATGGAACTCTCATGGCTGAGTTATACGATGAGATACAGTTCTATCTTGGCTTTGGTTCACTTGAGAGGGGAGTTAGCCAGTAGTGTCATTCTGAACATGAGCTGAGCAGAGTTCTGCATCTGATGATTAATAAATAAGGATACATATTTATTATTATATGATAAATAAGTATGTACAGAGCTTTGCTCATTAACACCTTTCACTGCACAAATTAGGGAGCAATGTGAGACCATCTCCTTGAAGTAATGTTACATGACTTGCCAAAATTCTAATGTCACACGGAATTTACAACTTCACACAAGTTATGCTGTAGTTTTTGTTTCACTGTGACATGAAAACCATATTAGAGTCACACAGAAATATGTTTGATCTATTAAAGCACAGTAGATGGAAATACATCGACAATAACAAACTTATTTGCTCAAAGGGGAAATTCCTTTTTTAACTAAACCGATTATAGTATTTTTATTAAGTTATTCACGCCAAGATTATTTTTTAATGAAGTGCGGTGAATTTGTTGCTGAATAAAATGACATCTTACTTTACAAAGAATCACGTAATTTAGTTCACTGAATAACAATCCTTGTAATTATGTTTAAGGCAATTTTCTGGTAATTATGTAAATTGACCGGTTACATACTTGGTTACAAATAACTACACGCTTGGGTTATTGAGCACATGTTTTCATTTTAGGAGTAAATCTCTTGGTGATCTAACTGACGAAGAACAACCAAAGGATACTTCCACGTCAATTCGATACGAAGAGTTGCAGAAAATCAGGACTAGCCTGAAAGAACAGGACAAAGTTTGGCAGGATGTAAGTTTAAAACCTTTTTTTTCTTTATTTGGTTATCAGAACATTGATAATGCATCGACAGTAGAACCCCTGGAACTCACCCTCCGCTTGCCTTTTTGCAATTCACAAGTTATGAAATCAGTAACTTGTTGCTGAACTCCTAACTACAGTACTTGTACATCAAATCAACTTCTTCATCTACTTATCTTCAGTAAGGTAGAAAGTTGAACCTAAAGTGTTAGGTTGGTAGTGAGCACCCCACAGTGTGTATTTGTGATTTGAGTAGTTCCAATTTACTGGAACAAACCTATACTATGCTGGGTCTTTCAGTGCTGGGTCATTGTATTGATAAAAATGTGTGAAGCAGTGCAGTATGAAGAAGGTCCATGAAGTAGGATGGCTCTATGTGAAATTAAACCATTCAAGAACCATTGAAGCACTTTTGTTTAGATGCTAAAATAGATAAAGTTTGCATGTGGAGTGAAATGGAAAAGAAAAATCTCTCATAAGATAGTGGTAATTTCATGTTAAATTGTGAAAGCTTTAGTAGTAAACATTTTCTTTCTTTTCTCTTTCGCCCGCCCAGCCCCACTACTATTCCTTCAAAAATAAAAATAACAATAAATTTGTCACTTCAATCCATGACTGTTTATGGAACACTGCTGTATGCAATTGACTGCTGTGTTTCGCCCACAAAAATATACAATCAATTCACTTTACAGTGTATTCTGTGAAGCGCTTTGATACGTCTTGAAGACATGCTGAGGCGCTATATCAAATTCAAAGATTATTATTATAATTTGTTACCTAAGGATGTGCATGTTGACCTGGGTGCTTCAGTGGTTCTTGAAGGGCAATGGTTCTGTTTATCTTCACAAAGATGTCTATAGTCCGATTAAGTAATTGGAAATCGGAAAAGCATATAAGACTGTGGTTTTTAACAGTGCAGTTAATAGGGATTTAGCTGAAGCCAATATTAAAAAAAAAATCCTATTCAGTGAAAAGAGTCTGTGTGTTAATTGGGAGTGTACCTTTCCCCTTCACCTTTAAATTTGAATTGTTCATACTTTGATTCAGTTGGTACTCGTGGGAGAAACGTTTAATGAAAATGATTTTTTTTGCACAACTGATTAGGATTTGGCAAAGTGGAAAAACCGTCGCAAAAGTTTCACCTCAGACTTACAGCGGAAGAAAAGCGAAAGAGAAGAAATTGAGAAAATCACTACTGGCGAGAGTAGGACAAAACCATTCAGTCAAATGAAGAAAGAAAGGTAATGTCATTACTTGACTTCAGAAATGACACTGGGTTCTGATGAATTACACCAATAATCCAGTAAAGTGCATATAATATTACTTGAGTTATGAAAATAGATCACTGTTCAATGTTCTATGTTTACAATCATATTGTCATTATTTATTGCTTTTAGATATTACCAGCAGTATGATGAGAGAGTTGCTAACCCTCAATTCTGTTTCATTAGAGTGACACCAGTAATTTAAATGGGTGAAAGGAAAATAATTCTTTGAAATCAATACTGATGAGCTAAATCCAACTCAATTTGTTAGTAATCCATTTCATTTAAAATACCAAATCCAAAATTTGGAGACCTGTAGCTCAGTGGTTAGAGCACTCGCTTTTCACGTGAGAGACCTGAGTTCAATTCTAGACAGGGCGAAACCTTGGGCAAGTTTCCTTATCCACACGCCTAATAATAATCTCTCCAAAACCAAAAACGATAATAAATTGGTCATTTTCAATCTACGACTATTTGTGGGACATTGCTATGTGCAATTGGCTGCCGCGTTTGCCCACAAATATACAATCAATTCACTTTACAGTATATTCTATAAAGCGCTTTGGGACGTCCTCCCGACGTGAAAAGCGCTATTATCAAATGCAAGGATTATTATTATTATTATTATTAAAATGGCTGAATAGTTGTTTCTGGCAGATTGCTGTGGCTTATTGACTGCCACATTTGCTTGCAAAATACAGTTACTATACTTCATAGTAGATCCTGTGAAGCAGATTGAGACTCTTCGAAGATGTGATAAGGCACTATAGCAAATCCAATATTATTATAAGTTAGAACTAATATGGGGAGGAATGTTAAATGGATCAGTTGAAGTAATAGAAAAGATGGTTTGTATTCTCTATATTTCTGTCTTTTCCCTGTCTGGGTTAAAAATTCTAGCATAATGGATCCTTGGTGTAATTTTTATAAGGCTTGCTTTTTCGAACTTGGCTGACTGCAACCTTACTAAGGCAGTCCAGAACCTTGGTGTCTTGTTTGACCCTCAACTATCCTTTCTACCCTTTCAGGGTGGGTGCCATGACCCGCCCTCCATGGGCTTGCTCCCCCGTACCTCTGTGTCCTCCTAACCTCCTACCAACTTGCCCGCTCCCTCCGCTCAGTGGGCTCTGGTCTGCTTCACGTCCCCCGCCTCGCTCGCCCCACCTTTGGTGGATGAGCCTTCTGCCACTTTGCTCCCACCCTCTGAAACTCCATCCACATGCCCTCCGCCTCACCCCCTCCCTTGCCTCCTTCAAGACCCGTCTCAAGGCATTCCTCTTCAACTGTGCCTTCGGTCACTCTCCTTCCCCCCCCTGCCCTCCACCCTCCCCAATCCCGACCCCCAGCTCGGGTCCGAAACACTGATTGTTCAGGGCCTTGGGACGTCCTTCTGACGTGAAAGGCACTATGCAAATGCAATTTTTTGTTGTTGTTGCTTGTCATTCTGTGCCGCGTGCTTGAAGCAGCAATTCTTGGAAATTAAATTTGTATGTATTTAGGTGACACAAAGGTCATATGCTACATTTATAAATGTATCCACAGGAGAGCAATACAATTGAGATGATTGACCTCACTAATTGAGACGAGGCACTTTGCAGATAAACCATGTGGATAATTTGATATCACACAAAATACAAATTGGCTGCTGTGCTGACTAAAAGATACTTCCATCTGGAGTTAAATTGTAACTGTAGACCTACACCGTGCAGGCCCTTCCTTCTTGTTTTCTCACTTTCATGCACAGATGAGGGAGGAGGGAATAGAGGAATATAGGTGAGAAGAATAGGAACAGTGGGGGCTCATGTGGAGTATAAACATGGGCATTGACTCTGTGGGCCCTTTTTTCCTAGCCTCTCTCTCTATATGTGCTGGTATCTTGCAGGCCTGTGTCCAACTTCTGTATTGGAGCCTGTGTGGATAAATGGACCATGTTCATAAATGGTGTATGGAAAACCAGTACCTCTATATGAGTCATTGCGAACTACGTTAAATGGGCAACTGCTATTGATTTTGAAAAATAAAGAGTTTTGAACTTGCTGACTAATGCATTCTTTTAGTGCATCAATTTTTTAGAGATTAGCATGTAGACAACTTGGATGTGAAGATTCAGGTTTACAAGTGCACATGTGCAAAGAAATGCTTATATGTAATTTAAATAGAAAGAAATTATTTGTTGAAACTTGTTCTAAACGGTTAATTTTTTTCCGTTCCATTCAAGCTACCCACAGCACAGCAGGATTGGGCCCTTGAGCTCTCACATGTGTATTAACTGCAACGGCTTTGTGGTATTTCCAGGCCAGTAAAAGTCAAATATTCTGAAGGATTAGTGGTTATGGGATGCAAGAGGAATGTGAAATATATAATCAGCAGAAAATGCTGTGCAATTTAAATGTTCTTGTTCAACGAAACTGTAATCTTGATAGTCTTTTTTTCCCCGCAAAATGGCAAATACTTAGGTTTGTTAAATGAGAAATTACCTGTTTTATGGATCCAGGTTTGCATTTTTACTTAGTTATTTTTTACCAGTCTAGACACATTGGTGTATGTTATGTAAGACCCATGTGATCCCAGTAAAAGTCTACAGAAGATTACTTTTATACCAGCCAGACAGCATAAAAAGGGTCCAAAGGAGAGTGATTTATATTTCAACTTTCTTTACAGTTCTTAAAGAACTGAAGGATCTGGAATTTGGTAACTGTTGAAAGCATATTTGTAAAAGAATAGAGTTATAGTTATCTATATTTAGGTTTCTGATCAAACCACATAACCAATAGAGTGGTGGTAATGGGGTTTTGTATCTTTGTCATTGTGAATCATTGTATGTGTTTTGATATTACTTTACATTTAAAGAGCAGCTACTATTTGGACGGCTGTACTGTATTCATTGGCTAGGCTAGAAAAGCTACTGTGGTTTTCTCGGGTGTGATAGGAAAAGTGTGTGTGTATATTGATTCCTTGTAAAAGAAGTAAATATTAACAGTAAGTTAAATTATGAGATAGAAATATTTATTGAAAACTGTTGTAACTTTAGAAAAGTGGCATGGATGTGATAAAAGATTACAGGAATCTGCTTTTAATCAGGAATGATGTAAGATTGCTAAAAATATTTCCGTGGCACTTGCACAGCCAGAAAACAGCGGATGTAAGAAACGCGCAGTTACATTCCTCACAATTAAACAAAATTCTCTAATATTTAAATCTTACATGTTAATTGTTTAAAATTCCTGTGGCAGTTGAACAGGAATACTACTTTTACATTGAACGCTGAAGGAACAGCAAAGAGTAAGAATGTTTTTGCTTTTATAAACTCTTCACTGTGCTCAAAGGTTGTGATCTGAGTGGCTAGCTATGTAGTGCTGAAGTTAGAAAGGTTGAAACATTACACTACTCACTGCCTTAAAGCCTACCAGCTGTTTTGTCCTTTTCCTCAATGAAGTACTGGTAATACACAAATTGCAACTTGATAACAAAATACCTTCATGGACCACGCCCATTGGTCATCTCGCTTTCACATTTATTCTAATGAGGCTTTCTTTGCAATTCTTCCCCTTCCCACAGGGAGCTCAGGGAGGAAGGATCATATGGTGCTAACCGGCCAACAGAGTACACAAAACTGTATTCATCTGACGAGGACGTGTTCGGTGAAGAAAAGAAACCTTTAAAACATCTGCATGAAAGCAGCTCCACTGTGGCAAGCAACACTCCTTACACCAACCTCTCGAAGAGTGAGACGGTGTCTTCAGTTCCTGCACTTCAAGCCTCACAGCCCCAGACAGCATCCGAATTGAAAAGCACCACCAACAATATGTCAGACAAGCAGCGCTTTCTTCCTTCATATATACACCATACAACGGAATTGAAAACTAAGCAAAGCCAGGTTTCAAATTCTCTCCCCAGAAACTACCAGAAAACTGACGTGTCCAGGTTTGCGCCAAGACCCTATGGTACACAGTACAACAGAATCTCATCCCTTCCGAGAACTTATACAGTAAGTCTTTAGAATAAATAAATAAATTGTGAAAATGTTTTTGCAGTTTCTCCTCGATTTTGTTTTTCAGTCTTGTATCTCGGATAATCTTGCTGTTCAACAATACAAAACTCTTGATCTTCCCTTTAGCCTTGTAGATTTTTGCCTGATTTCTGTTCTGTTGTATTTTGCACACACTAGCATTAAGTGGGAGTAAATATTAAATGGCAAAACAATATGGCACACTAATGTGCATTTTCTCTTTTTTAAAAAAAGTTGAAACATATTTGCGTTTCAGACAAGTTGCGAACTATATGAAAACAAAATTGCTGAATAGAAATGACCTTTTTGTGGTCTTATTTATTTTAAGTTTTGAGGAAAGATTTGGAAACAAACCACCAAACCGATGTGCCCACATTCATTCAACAGAATTCAAATATTTTGGTTTCTACTAAAGAACCACAAATCTGTGTGTGTAAAATCCTCAGGGTTTGTTTAATGTTGAGCAATTGCATTGCCACATGTGAGCAATCTGGAATATGCTTAATTTCTGTTTTTTTTAGGGATTGGTATTAATTGTACATCAACTATAACTTTAATGATCTTTGAATTGATATCAAAAATTGAAGACAAATGTTGCTGTCTTTTTTTCTTTCCTCCTCCTCCTGCCATCAACCCTGCCGCTCACTGTCAACTGTCTTTGAAGGATAATTGGTGCTTGAAGTAGCAGGAGTTTCACAGACTAAATTCCATTTTTACAACTTAACAAGGGGGTGGGAGGGGGAACTCCCTGTCTCACTGCAGGTGTCACCTGTCTATCCTACTTGGCAATTGTGCATGCATCTGTTGATGCCAGAAGCCACAACTGATGGTCTATTTTTATACTGCTGGTCTGAAGCCTAGCACTGCAGCAGAACACAATATTGAATTACAATTTTTTGCATCAATGGAATTTTGTAGAAAACTTTCTAAACTTCCCATTGAGCTGTTTTAAGTTGGTGTCTTTTGCTTCAATGGGGCAAATCAATTTAAAGACGGTTGAGTATTTGTTTGAAATGAGCTCTCAGAATCAGTGGGGAGAAATTGCATTCAGTTCTAGATTTACTGTATTTAGGTAGTGTTCAGAATTTGGCAAATTCTTAAATACAGCCTTAATTTTAAAGTGTTCCTGTATGGTCTTTTTAAAAGCTGCAAAAATCCAACTTCAAAGTTAAGACTCAATTCAACAATTTGCCAACAACTTCTGAATGCTCTGACATGCTACATAAATAGAGGAAATCTAGACCCGGATGGAATTCTCCCCAGTACTGCTTTAACTCCTGCATTACTTGATAAATTAACTACAGTATTTGATATTGGAACGCTCAAATATTTCATCTGGTGAGGGGCTCAGCCACATGCTGAGCTCTCTTAGTATGAAGAAACTGTAAGGAACTTGCAAAGTACACTGATATTGCAATATCTTACAATTAGGTTTGCTTATTTGCTCTGCTCTAAAACATGAAATGCGATCGATCAGTATAATTTTCCAGTGCGTGAGAGCTAAATGTTCTGTGGTGCTTGTTAATATAATAATGCCTTGAAGTCAGTGAAAGGGATGTTATGGTCTCAGTGGGGATTTTTCAAACAGGTGCAGTTTCTGGCAAAGTGAACAGTTTGCTCCTTTCAACTAAGACTAAGTAATGACCATCAGGGAAAACTTGCATTACAGCAAGTTTTGTATTATGTTTGCAACTGAGTCTTGTGTTTTTATGGTCCTAGTTTAGCTTTTTTATGGCTTTTTTAACAAATATTTTGTCTCAGACTTGATTAATGATATGATGGCAAATGTAACAGATGGTGATGGTCTTTAAAAAAGAGGAATCTAGATGGATACTTGACAGGACAAGCCATGAAGTGTTTTGGACCAAAGGAATGTATGGTATTTTTCAAACCTTGGGACTTTGAGATGGATTGCAATGGTTCTGCCTGTTCCTATGTGGTCCTTGCAGATCATGAGCTCTTTTACCATAAAAACAAGTCTTGAGTAACTTGTGAGCCTATTAGCTGAATCCTATGGAGAAATTTGTCTAACCTATTCCTAGGGAGGGGTGTTCCTGTGTGATCTGCGAAGCAGGTTTTATTAAAGCCGTTTTTTATTTTTAATTAGGGAGATGAAGCACTGAAATATAATGGAGATGTGAATGGTTCAAAACAATTCCAGCTGCCCGTGAATACTGGGTCCTTCTCAAAACCGCTGGAAGAGAGGTCCTGGAGAAGCCTCTCAAAACCAATGGAAGAGCAAACTCTGCAGATCAAACCTTTCTTAAAGCAGGAAGTTGAAGCTCCGACGCGGAGTAGCCTTTACTCAAAATTGGACGAAGATAGCCAATCGCAGGCCAGTTCTGTAATGAGTAGTAATGAAGAGGAGGAAGAGGAGGAGAGATCCCATGTGTTGCAGCCCTACGCCACCTCTAGCTCTGTAACAAGTTATTTCACAAAAGCAGGAAGCCTGCCCACAAGCACGGTTACCACAGCAGCCATGCAACAGGTAAGAATGGAAAGTAGGTTACTGTGCACGTTTAAGGTCTGCACAGTAACCTGATAGTCCCTTTTGATTGTACGAGCGCACAGTTCTGTTTTAATAAAACTCTAATTAACCCCTAGTGACCTCCATGTACAAAGGCTGATTAGACAACTTAATACTAAAACGCTGAATAAAAAATGTTTCATGTAACAGCTCAAGTGCATTCACAATGAAGCCTTGTTATTCACTGATGTCTGAGTGAAAAATAGCAGTCTGAAACTAGGTTTTGCCATTTGGGAATTGTGCTCCCTCTCTCTTCTCCCCCCCCCTCCACCCCCACCACTCCCCGCACCAGTGTAGCCTTCAGTTTATTCATCAAAGCCTGATTTTTGCAGAGGTCTCTTGAACATTCCAGTCCTGTTTATGGATAGTTGTGGATGTCATGGAAAAAGATCCATCTGGCTGATTGAATGGCTAGGGTTTCCAGGAAGTGTTAAATGATGCTGAATGTATAGGTATCGGGTGCTGACTGATTTAAATTTCTTTTCAGTGTCTGTACAGCGATACACGAGTAGTTATCAGCCAGAAGCCGAACAGTAGTCGAGACTTTGGATTCACAACCGATTGGAGCACCAGAGGAGCAACTGTGGATTCGGTGGAACCGGGTAATTGTTTTTATAGCTATTGTACTGTGATTGTATTATCGTAGTGATGGAATCAGATCTGGGTTGCATATCTCATCCTGTAACCAACGGTATTCATGCTGGCTTTAATTGATGACCATGAATGATTAATGATTTGATGGTCAGAAGGTCATCCTCTCCTGCAGGATCTGCTGTGCACATGTTTTTTACATACATAGTGACCAAGTTAACACTAAACCTTTTAAGAATCAGCTGCATTTCTACAAACAATATATTAATGCATCTATATAAATATTGTTCACTGACTGCATTACTTATCATCGTTGTGGCTTAGCTCTCATTTGAGCTATTTGGTTGAAACAGTTTAACATCCATTAACACGGATGTATTTCTATAACAAAACACCTTAAAGTTATCCAATTTTTGTAGATATAGAATCCCTCCCAATTGAATGCTTGCAGTCTGAGCGAGTATTCTTCTAAGGTGACACTGGTTTGCAGTTTCGCAACGAGACACTATGAAGAAAATGGTGTTTGCCATTTTCTAAATCAACAATGTTTGGTTGATTGATCTTTTCTGTTTCCGAAATTCAGCGATACATCATTGACTAATTTGAAAGGAAAGATACCACATTTTTTTCAGAACAAAATGTTGAATCTGACCTTACCCCGTCCTGTGCTGATAATTATGACTGGAAATAAAATGGCCTCCTTGTCGAGACTGCCTGAAATTGTACATGACATTGCAATGCACCGATGGCGACTAGCTAAACTGGGCTAATCAAAAGGACCTGAAATGAGGCTTCTGGAAATGTCCCACACAACAAGAGAGAATGTGTGTGTTGATCATGTCAGATATGGGGCTGCAGTATTAGTGTCATTAACTGCTGTTGTTCCAAAGCTGTTTTTTGGCAGTGATTTTGTTACCCAAATAGTCGAACAGGGGTTCAAGCAATGTGCATTTTGCTGAAACCACCTGAAAGATAAACATGGCTTGGCTGTCCTGGTTTCTCTTGAATCAAAGTTAAAGATCTCAGCAGGGGCAAGATTTTGAGGAATTGGACGGAGTATCCAGTGAGGTTGTGGGGCAAATTCAACCTGGGCTCTTGCTTCTCCAGAAATACCTGCTGCAAGGTATAGGTGGAGACAGGGTTTGCATGTAATGTCCCCATAGTTGAATACAAACCTAAGTCCTTCACTTCAGATTGTTGTCTCTAGCATTATTGAGTATAATAAAATGAGGCAATGGGCCTGACATCACTCCAGATCCAGATCGACCCATTATCCAGTGCTTTGTTTTAGATGTTGCTTCAATTCCTGTTTTATGTTATGGAAAAACTCCCATGGTGTGTGGCCACATTTATACTCCAGATGGTTTCAGCACAATTCACATTTGATCTCTTATTTATACTGCTTGTTTAGCGACGAAATTGTTGCCAAAAATTGCAGTGTAAAAATTATCAGAATGCAACTATTGCTCAATTAAATTGTGGTGAAGGAATGAAAGGCACTTATTAATAGTGGTATATATTTCTTTGCGAACTGCTACAGTTAAGTACAATCCTTTTTGAGATATTGTGTAGCACTGTACATTTTTGTGTGTACTAAGTGAAATTAATGAGAAAAACATAAATTGTGTGGAGATTGGTGACATATACTGTATATTAAAATTGTTTATTTCTTTGTGGACAGGTGGAGCAGCAGAACATTGTCAACTGAAAGTAGACGATGAAATAATTGCCATCTGTGGCAAAAAGGTCGCCGACATGGACCGACAGACTTGGTTTGAAACCATGGACAATGCAGTAGAAAAGGGAAATCTAGTCATGGATGTTCGGAGATATGAAGAGAGCAGTGAGTCAATGAATAGTTTTATTTTACATCTTTTCTGTTGCACTGTAAAATTTGTTGATTTTATTTTGCCTGTAAAACAATTACAATTCTAGCATTTTTAACCAAACGTAACTTGTTTATGAAGCCTAACAAAACCGTACAAAGGATTCACTGGGATTAATTTTTCTTGTTAGTATTCAGTGGGAATGGGATTTTTTTAATGAAGTTTAGAATTGGCAACAAGCAAGTTATTATGTCAGTAGTGCTACAGTCCTATAAATGTTTCGAGGGAAATCAATGTTGTCACATATAATTAGCCCCTGAGTCAGTCTTGACGTGTAAATCAATGTTTCCATTTATCAGTACACCCTGTAAACTTAATGAAGGACAACTTTAAACCTGACCTGATACAAAAACAAAATTGTGCACAAGTAGGGGAGGCAATACTGATGTAATTTTAAAATAGAAAACCATAGTGCAATAGCAAACTGGTAGATTAAAAAAGTAATGTACTTATCGCACCATCGTGAATGAACTGAGCAATTAATGTCTCTGGTACAGCATAATAGAAGTTTTGTTACTGGCCACTTTGTAAGATACCGAATCTTGAATATCCTTGTTGGCACATTGCCCTGTCTGTTTTAGACTGTTTTCTGACTGGCATGTTTGGTCTATTCTTGTATGTCTGTTTGTATGCATTTACTGTTTCTGTTCTGCTGGCTATTGATATTGTCAGTATTTGTAATTTGTCCTCCATGCGCAATGTAGACTAGGGCTTGGACCTAGTTTCTCATTGGAAAAGCTATGAAACTGTCAGCCTGACTCACTTGGATCTAAAACTTACAGGTACGAGTGAAATGAAATACACCATATTTGCAGATCCTGATGTATCTGAAGGTGTTGAAGGAACACACAAGATGAGCCAGTCTTTTAATCCTTTTATTGATGTAAGTTTTTTTTAGGTTTTTTTATTCTCTTGTGGCTGTTTTTGATTCCTTTATTCTTCTATTACTCTAAATTTCACAAGCACTGATTATGTTCTGGTTAACCCCTTCGCAATGTCCATTATTTGTGGCTTAGGGTTATGTTTAGCAGACTATTTAACTGTGAGTCTGTATGACAGCTAAGTCTTTTGCTATCCTCACCCAACATCCACATCCACCTTCTAGGAAAGGGATAAGATCAAAACAAGAGCCATCATTTCACTGGAAAAAAGACTCCCCAAACCATGGGTATCAAGGCTACTTAGAAAGATCGAACCACTGCCCCTGACTGAGATCATCTAACTCAGTGTAGATCAGGATCAAAGCTCTAAACTTTTGGTCTATGGGACTTAGTGCTACACAGGACAGTGTTTTTATCTACTTGACCATCAGAAGCTCTGATGTGAACAGATCAGCTTCCACTAAATTCGGTACAAGTCTAATGTGGATATTTGTCTGTTAACTAGATATTTATAATATAATAACTAGATATTTCATTCTAGAATCAACTTTTAGGCAGCTGATCTAAAATGTGCATTAAAAGCTAGATAAAGTAAAACCTGTTTATAATCCAGTAATTTGAGTCCATAAAATCGGGAATCAAACCCAGGTCCTCTCACTTGGGAGGCGAGTGCTTTAACCACTAATTTTAAAAACAAAATGCATAAGCACACTAATAAATAAAATTTAATGTTATGTTTGAATACAAGTGCTTGTCATTACCATACATTTTCTTGATTAACCTGAACAATTAATGTTGTCTGGAGCTCAATGGAAGTTCATTGACAGCCGGTCAGATTGTATTGGGAAATATTTCCTGAGCTGCAGTTTGATGCATCAGATTTTTATGCAAATTTTAACAGGATCAGATTTGAGAAAAGTATGAAAGTGATTTATTTCCTTACAGTATGAGCTAACATTCATACTTGTGGGTGAGCAATGAGCAATATATTGTGATTTCCCTCCATTTTCTCCTCTCCTTCCCCAATGTTTGTTTTTACTGGATAATGGTGTTAAATGTATCAAATTAAGTTCAATTTACTTTTTGCCAATCATCAGGTTGATGGATCAGAAAGACTAAATGGAAAGTTGCCAGAGAATTCATACACCTCAACTCAAAAAGGTAAACTTCTTAAAGAATTTCATCAAAATAGTAACTTAGTAAACAGTTACACTGTTAGTCTATCCAGCCTTACCCATTCAACTTCTAAAAGAAGCAAACACACAAAAATTCTACTTCATGAGGCCATCCTTAAAATAAACATTTTTACTACAAGAATTAATTCAGCATGAATAATTTTGGCCGGAATTGTAAAGAAGAATATCACTTCTTCCAATGGAATAGAAATTATTCCAAGCAGCCATGTGTTCTCTTTGTATCCATTACCAGTGGACCGTCAATTTAGCCAGAAGTCAAAGCATAAACAATATGTATTAGAGAAATGTAAGGGCTTGTGGCACTCTGAGCCATTTTTCCACTTGCATGAAGAGATATTTTATGCCACTGCTTCCTAATATTTTATTCCTACAGCTTCTTGTCTGTGAATTTCTCATTAAAAAAAATGATTGTGTGGTGTAACTGAGTTAACTGGAAGATAACTCATCGTTTTGGTTCTTTTCCTTCTTGCCGCCTCCCCCACCACTCAATACTGTTCACACATCTGTACACAATCTTGACTCTCAGACAGATCTACACTGACTTGTACGTTGATGTAGCCCACCAGTCATATGTAATTAACATACACACTTGTGTCAAAATTCTCTTGCAATTCTGGCCACAGTCTGGATTGAAAACTTCTCTCTTTTGGAAAGCAGAATCCTTTTTGTGGTCTTTATAATGGCACGGTGTAGATTATGGTTTAAAACAAATCCTAAAACAAATTATATGATTATGAAGCATAAAACACTTTATGTACATAAAGTACTTTATAATTTAATTTCAAACAGTACTAATCCTGACTTCCAGTCTTCTTGTGAATCAGTGAATGCCCTCCTCCCTTTAACTGGAGTACAGCGTGTAACTAAATAGTTTTGAACATCAGACTCTTGCTGGTAGTCATTTTTTTCACACAATCCAGGAACACTTAATGGGGGTTGGATTGTTGACAAACAACACATCAAAATGACCAAAGAAAGAATGGAATAATTTATTATTTCAGAAAAAATGATTAATAGCTATAGACTTCTCATGCAGACACCATACAAATGGGTTTGTGATATGATTAAAAAAAATCTTGTAAAATTACCTCTCGTCAAAATGACTGGGCTGCATTCACTGGAGTGTATAAAACTGAGAGATGGAACAGAAGTGTTGAAAATTCTGAAAGGGATTTGAAGGATAAATGTGGAAAGAATGTCGTTGGTTGTTGATTCAGAAAAATGGAACGAAAACTCAAAATATTAATAGAACAAAGAGAAGGTTAGAAGAACATTAAGATGTGAAATGTTTTACTCCAAGTGACTTTTGAAGCAGTTGATTACATTATTTAAAAAAAACAATCCGGTAAAATGATGAAGAAATAAAATGCAACAGGAAAGGAGCTACACTTATTTTAAAATCAGTTTGACTTTAAATGGAACTAGTTTGCTCTTAAAATGTCGCAGCTTTTCAGTGCATAGTTGATTTTATTTTATTATGTGGAGTCCTGTAGCTCAGTGGTTAGAGCACTCGCTTTGCAAGTGAGAGACCTGAGTTCAATTCCAGGCAGCGCGAAACCTTGGGCAAGTTTCCTTACTCCACACAGAGCCTAATAATAATCCCTCCAAATCAAAACAATAATAAATTGATCATTTTCAATCTACGACTGTTTGTGGGACACTGCTGTGCGCAATTGGCTGCCGCGTTCGCCCACAAATATACAGTCAATTCACTTTACAGTATATTCTGTGAAGCGCTTTGGGACGTTCTCCCGACGTGAAAAGCACTGTATCAAATGCAAGGATTATTATTATTTGTAAGAAGAATCCTCCCATTCTGCGGTTTAAATATTTCACATTATTTGATGCCTTTTAAATTCTGTAATTTTCCTTTTATTTCAATAAAGGTAACCTACTTTGTTGGCCGAGCCAAGTAATAAAATCCCTTTGATGCACTTCAGCATTTAGCTGTCACATTTTTGCCTCCATTTGGGACCCGTAGGTCACTTGTCAATTATGTGACATTTAAGTAGGGAATAACTGTATACTCAATGCATGCTGCAGAGTTAATCTCCATCTTAAAGAAATTACTAGTTAGCATTTTGTGGAAGCATAGCTTCAACAAAAAACATGAGCTTCCATACATTTGGCCCGCTGTATTTTGTGTGTGTGCGTCTTTAAAAGAGTAAGGATCCAGCTGTGCAATCCAACCAACTGTGAGTGAAACCTGTGGGATAAAATGGCTCAGCTGGGACTAATTCTGAACAGTCTTTGCACGAGACACCCCCACTTGCAGCTGCCTTCATAAAGCTGCCTGCACTCAAACGATTAAACTTAGTCGAAACAACTCTAAAAATATCTTGAAACAAATGGCCACATAGTATAAAAAGGAATGCACATTGGAAGTCTGTGGTGTATGAAATGTTCTCCATTATTATTATATTGCTCAAAACACTGTAATGATCAAGACAGTTTTAGATATAATGAATTCTGTATTAATTTGGGTTGGTATGTCAAAAGGAGTTTGGATTAAAGAACATGCTCTACAATATAGTATCTACATCAAATATAAGATTAAAAGAAACTTAGTAGGCTTCTTATTTGAGATGCGTCTATAGAATATTGATCCAGATTAACTTGATACACTCAGTTGGAAACTGTGCCGTTGAATTCCACACATTCCAGTGTAATAAATCTTATGACATCTTAAAAATGTAATTCGCTGCGGTTGGACAGAACAGTGCAGCTTTTCAAAAATGCTCTATTTTCTGCTCCTTGAAGCTGACAAATATTTTTCCAGCCTTTTTATTGCTGTGTTCAACCATCACTTTTAAAGTGTTTATTTTTATAGCAGCGTTCGCTTATGAGCTGAAGACAAAATAGAAACAAATAGAATCCATTTTACTTTAAAGCAGCTAAACTCTCAAGGCAGTGTGTCCAATTCAGTTCCTCTCAAGACTCAAAGCACTTCATAGGATGTACTGTAAAGTGGAGTGACTGTATCATTTCTGGGCATTGATTTGCACTGCAAGTGTTTGTGGTGCCAATTAGTTTAACCTCCACTCATATATGATCCCTTAAAGTTATTGAATCAACTCTTTAAGAAATGTAAAATCTGTCCTTATATTATTGTTTAACAGAACTCTGAACATTCACTTATTGGTGGTGACAGCTCAATATTCCAGGCTAATCTGATTTTGAGTAGGAAATATAAATCTGGCTTCTAACTCCTCTAACAGTTTTAACTGATTGAAGCAATAATGAATCATTTACAGCAGTTTAAAAGTGATATCATTACTGTTAATGTATAATTGTTTTTGTAATGCTTGTGCTGTGTACATTTTTAACATGTTTTTTTCTGCTTTAGTATCTGAACCACTTAGTCTGAAAAACAATAAAAAGCGATCCCAGTTTTTTGAATCACAAGGTAAATAAAATGCATATGTTTTTGTAGGGGCTAAATTGAAAACTGGTTTCCATGTACTGTGCAATGACTAAATCTTATGGTGATCTGGGTCTAAGAGCATGACTTTCTATTAATTCATCTGAATAGTGAAGAGTTTTTATAAATGCTTCTATTCTTTCTCCAGGCTCAGCAGAGTTTGCTTGCAAATCATTGATCTACCTTTGTGGTAATCTTTATTGTGTGTGGAGTTTTTTTTTGACAGTTGTCATTTGCTTTAAATGTTATGCTGTTTCAGGCTACGGAATATAGTAACAGGTATCATTATGTGTTGCCAAAAGTTTTCCTTCCTTTAATTTCACTTCAAAAAGTTTATTTAACATTGTCAGCTATAAAATATTGACTGAATTGAAACAGCATTCCATGTTAAAGATCATACCAACATTTTGAATTGTAGTTTTTCCTTATTGACAATGCATTTCAATTCTATATAATTAAAATACTAACTTATCACATGACCTGCATGCTGTAAATACATTTTATTAAAATAATTTTAATTTTTCTTGTTTTAATAAAATTCCATTCACAGATTAGGTTTGCAATTTCGTGTGTTGGAAAACATTAGTTAAACTCATTCTGTGCCCAAGTAATTTAAATTTAAAGTGGTGGTATGATATTCGTATTGCCTCTTGCTAGTCTTCTCGTGAGTGTGTGGTTGAGATTTATCTCATTTTATCCTAATTTCTCATAGCAGTATTAGTACTGTAATGTGTATCTTTATGTAATGAGTACTAAATATACAAAGTATAATGTAATCCTAATAGAAACCTTATACAACAGAGGCATTTAAAAATACAGATGTAAATCGTATTACAACATCATGAAAATTTAATTAATTATTGCAACTTTTGGATTGGCTTAAACCAGATCTGCCTTAACCGTTTATCTGTTTGGACAGAACAAAAAAGTTAATAGATCTAAATTTCATGCTTTTTTCTATTTTTTTTAAAAAAAGGTTTGATTGAATTATATTTCTGGAGACACTGTTGCCTTTTTTAACATTTTACAGTATCACACAATGGTTAACTGAGATTTCAGGTTTCATCACGTTACATTGATCTAAAACTGGCTGAAGCCTTTCAATTGAACATGATGGATATAGTAGTAAGATCTGATGGATTAAAGCTCTTGGTTATCTAACTGATAACCAAGTTGTAACTTTGTAGTTAATGTTCAATTAATCAATGTGATCTCATTGTAACATGACCAAACATTTTTATGAAAAGCATTCCCGTTTCCTTTTCTAACAAATAATTTTTTAACCAATAAAGTGTTTTTTTTACAAATTTGTTACTCAGCTGCTTTTTGATATCCATGGGACCATCTTTTTATCTTGAAGTAGTAACATTTGCCAGGATTGCGATGACTTCTGATCTATTGAAGTGTTGCATATTCGATATCTCGGTTGCAGAATATCCTAATTTTTGTTTGCATTGAATAGCAGAGACATCAAGCGTCTTTCAAAGAGAAAAAATGACCCAAAGAGCTTAACAGCTTAAGGTCTATGCAATGATTAGTTAATAATTAGTTAGTCAACAAGCATAGTTAATGAGAAATGCAATGTTGTCTGCAGAAATTCTTTGAGACCCAAAGAAAAGATTTCTTTCATAAGGAATCTCACTCCAAGTAAATCAGAGTGGAGTTTCTGATGACTTGCTTCCACTGACTGGAAGGGGTTCCCAATTCCATGGCTCATAAGCCCTTTATTAAGGAATCCTATTCCGAAAAGATGTATTACAATTTAGACCCAGTGAAGCAGTTATTGTTTTTATTTCAAGAATTTCCTTAAGCTTTCTAAAGCAGTCCTAAGCCATATGTTACTGTACAGACCAGTATTTTGTTCATCAGCTTATAAATTTTATTTTTCTGCACAGGAGGATCAGAGCCTGCTATGACTGATGTGAGTACTATTGAATTATTGGACTTTCTTGCATACTATAAAAAAATTATAAATTATAGGATTATTCAGCAGAAATTAGAAATATATATTCTATCCAGTATTTAGTATAGTCTATGATAATATTGCAATTCAACTTCTTGCATCTTAAGAAGGGACCAGAACGAGTCCTAAACAAAAAGTATGAACGGTTTATCATAGTGGCTGTAATGACAGTAAGTATTTATCATAAAGCAAGTTTAAAAATTACACAAAAACGAATAAAGGTGTTGACATGCTTTCTTCCTGCTGTGGCATATTAGCTACAAGTTCCATCAATTAGTGTTTCAAGTCGTTGGTCTTGGAATCATGAAGAAGAGAGAAAGCGCCAGGAATTATGGCAGAAAGAACAAGATCGATTGCTACAGGTACAATGTGGCTAACTTGCTCGCCACATACAATGAGGTGTTCCTGGCTAATGCTGATTGCTTTTCACTGACACATGCTTTGCCTGGATTGTAGCCCTTTAACAAATGTAATAACTTGTAATATAACTTGATTGTTTGTTTCATTGTAAAGAGTAGATTTTTATGAGGGTCCAACAGAGGTCAAGGGAGGCTGTGAGCATTGGACACCTGTATTCAAGTATTTTTGCAAATTTATATTTTTAAAGAAGCAGTATGCATTAATTACTATGCCTATACTTTATTTTTCTCCTTCCCCTAATCTTGGGTCTTCACAAATTGTCACTAACTAACTGAATGATAGACCTCTAACTTGCTGCTCTGAAACTACCAGCCAGAGGATGTTAATATGTGGCTTGTATTAACTCTCCCAATTTGTATTTCGTAATTCCATTTGCTCACACTCCTCATGAAGGCATTCTTGAGATCAGCTATTTGATGTAAAGAAAGAACTTGACTCACAATTGATTGCTGTCAAGTGCAGTCACTAGTTTGCAAAGTAATTGTGCCAGATAAAAACAACGATTTGCCAAATGATCAATTTATGTGGAAGATTGTTGACCAAGAGACCAGGAAAACGTTTATTCTTTTAGAATGGTACAATGAGATCTTTTAATGTCCACCTAACTAAGTCAATAGAACATTGGTTTAATTTCTTATCTGAAAGCTGTGCCTCTGACAAAAGAACATTCCACTTATATTACATCAAATTGTCATTCTAGCCTATAAGATGAAATCCCAATGTGGGGCATAAATCAAATTGAAACACGTGATCCAAACCAAGTGAGGCAAAGCCAACTGAGACAATCATGAGCATCTTACCAAAAAGAACCACCCCCCAACACACATACCAAATTCCTATGTCATATACTTCCTGTGATGTAGTGGTATCAGGCTGTAACATGGGGTATCTCTCCTTTTTCCACGCACCCCCCAGTCTATACCTACCCCAGAGATGGGTCACACAGACCCATCTTCATCCTCCTAAATTAGTTTGAATAATGGTTGTTATAGTAAGCTTGTGTTTTCCATTGAACTACACATTATCTGGGAAAGGCTGAATTAGACTGGAACTGGGTGGGAGAACACAATCTGTACCCTCCTCAGGCCAGTGTTTACAAAAAAACATCCCTGACAACTAGTTTATGAATTATATTCAAACCAAAAGCAGATTGACAAGAGAATCTTAAAATTTATGATGCTGATCTCAGTATGTCCAATTCATTGTTTTCAATTCATTCTAAATGATGTGCCCTCTTTAAATGGCCAATCCTCTGAGTGACTTTCCATTCCAAACCCTGGAGCTATGGGTACAACGGGCATTGGTCATAATGCTGCTGGCCCAGGAATTGAACACTGAAGCCTTCCAATCTGTTTAGCTCCGTGACTTAGTAGATAAACTCTCTAATCCATTGGGGGGAGATTTTGAACATCTTGTAACTTGAACTGCACGCACAGAAAACTTGTAAACTGTCACAAAGGAATGTGGGTTTGAACTGGTAGACTCCAGTTTTAACATTAGCTGCTATTTGTGGGATTTTTTTTTAAGGCGATGAGAAAAAAAACACTTAATTTTTTAATTTGCGCGCACACATAACCTAACGATTTTCAATGTTGGAACCATTAGGAAAAATACCAACGTGAGCAGGAGAAACTGAAAGAAGAGTGGAAAAGGGCCCAGGAGGAAGCTGAACAAGAGGGTAGCAAGTACTACGAGGAGGTAAAGGAGTGATACAACACAGTACTAAATCTTAATGTTTCTATTTACTTATTTACATTTGTGTAGCACCTTCTGTGCCGGGAGCACTTCTCAAAGCTCTTGGCACTGCTGGTGAGGCACCTGAACTGGATGGAGAAACAGTAAAACAGAACAGTTTGGGAAGAAACTAATTCTAGATTAGTGAGAAAGGAAATAAAATTTGTCCGATTTCGCACTAAAATATTGACTGATCTACGCTCTGTTTTGAACCGGAAAATCCTTTAGGATCTCAGTTACTTCATAGGAGAAATATTTTGATATTGGCTTCTGATTTATGCAGAATTTTATAATTTGGTAGGTGGGATGGGAAATTCTGCAGCAGATGAGAATATAATCTAGCTCTGGAGGTGTGCAGGATGCTGCCTAAAACTTGAGCTGGTGGTCCAAGAGGAGACAAAGTAATTGGAGGAAGATGATAGTTTGGCTCGACCACAATTAAATGTGAATATGTAAGTACTGCTGTACAATAACAACATGCACTTGTATCGCATTGGGAAAAACATTTAAAAATGCTTTACAATGGCTGAGCAGGTTCCTGAGCAAGATGGGAGGCAGGATGCTAAGAAGACAAGTGGTCAAAGCACAGAAACATAATTAAAATTTCTTAAATCTTTTGTTAAAAAAAATTATAAAGTTGAATTTATTTGGAGAGGGCCTGGACTTTTGATCAGGAAAAGCTTTGTTCTGTTTTATTTTAAACCAAAAATTATTTAGAGTAAGAAAAACCATGAGTGTAATCATCTTGCTGGTAGTGTTATGGTTGAGAGCACTGCCTTATGTATAGGATTCATTAAGAAATTGAGTTGAATAGCTTGCTCTGTCTGATTCTCAAATAACAATGTCATTTAAAGGAGTGTTGGAGGGCTACACCAACCATGAAACTATGGCAGCGTCGGTCTGTGCATTAAGGAAGGCCGCACATATTCAATAGTTGCCACATCTCAGTCAATAAGGGCTTATTAACTCCTGCAATAAAGTTTGCCTGTTGTTCAGTTATGTTTATGTACAACTTTAAAAAAGACTTGACTCTCTGCAAAATTAAAATGCGGATTAATTCTGCCGATCTAGGAGCAGAAGATATTGCAAGACATCAATTCTCCACAGTCTTCCTTAAATTATGTGAATGAGCCTGGTGTATATCAGAGTTCTCGAAACTGGGCTACTTCTTGGAATGAACAAAACGAAGAGCAAGAGTGCCGAAAAATAAAAGAGGAGGAAGAACGGCAACAAAGAGAAGAAGTTGAGCGTCTGGAATTTGAAGAGCAAAGACGGCAAGACATTTTGAGATTAAGAGAAGAAAAAGAACAACAGGAAGAGGCAGATCGTCGTGAAAAAGAAAGGAAACGGCAAGAAGAAAGGGAACGTAAACTTCAACGATTGCTTGAAGAAGAAAAACTGGAAGAGAAAAAATTGCTTGAAGAAAGACGATTGCTTGAGCAAGAAAGACTTGAAAAGAAAAGGCGTGAAGAGGAAGCACGTTGGGCAGCAGCTGAAAGAGCAAAATCGATTCCACAACAGTGGTAGGAATTGTTTTTAAACTTCCCCATTATTTAAATGAGTTGCTACACCAGGCATCCGAGTCTCAGCACATTAACATTCTAAAAGTTGGAGTTCTGCAGTGTGTTGGTTAGAGCACTCACCTCGCAAGCGAGAGGATCCAGGTTTGATTCCTGGGCAGGGCGAAACCTTAGGCAAATTTCCTTATTCCACATGCCTCCATTTACCTAGCAGTAAGCAGGAACCTGTTTGTTAGACGATTGGCGGATTGTTTTTCTGGGGGTACTAATTCCTTCAACAAAAAAATAATTTGGTCACTCAATCCATCACTGTTTGTGGGACACTGCTGTGCACAATTGACTGCTATGTTTCGCCCACAAAATCAATTCACTTTGCAGTATTTTCTGTGAAGCGCTTTGAGATGTCTCAACGATGTGATAAGGCATTTCTCAAATGCAAGTATTATTATTATTGTTATTATTATAAGGTGTATGTGCGTTGCCTGTTACTTGGTTTACATCTATACTTCACTACATTTTAAAGGCTTAGATCATACTTTTCCAATCCCTCAATAGGAAGAACGAAATCATGACACTATAAATGGTGTCTTTGGGCTTCACCATTGAAGGATGAGGAAACCTTGCATAATCAAAACTTGAGCCAAAAACATTTTAAATAATTCCATTAATTTTATATTTAAATAATTGTTTATTAAATCAAGGTTGGCAATTGAATAATATGTCTTAACTAAATGATGCTTGTAGTAACTAACCTACAGTTCAATTTTATTACAGGGTCAAATCCAAATCCACCTCTGGACTTGATGATGACTATGACTCTGTGCAAAGCCATGGTAAGTTTCTCCTTGTCATTGCTTCAGTTCATGAACTGATTCTGATATTCCTCCACCAAGACTACTTTAACCAGCTAGGGACTCTTTTAACATGAATATATAATAAGTGGATTGAGAGAATCTTCAGTCCATATATTCAATAAGCATGTTTAGTGTTTTAAGTCATACAGTTCTTATTCAACAGTGTTTACATATGGCTCAATGTGTAAGTACTACATTGATCAAAAAGGAGGTATTGTACTTAAGAATATCATGTAATAACACTGTAAAGGAACTATAACTGGATTCTTCAAAACTCCCATTTGTAAGCAGCTTTTGTTTGCAAATTGGAACATTGGGTGCTCATTTGACTAGATATCCGAGATTCCTTTAATTATAAATGTGCTTCTTAACTCTTCATTGAAGTTTTGTAACCACTAACAATTAATTGATGGTAATGAGTACTGTAATGCCTGAGAAAGAGGAAAGAATTACGCTTATGCTCTGGCATGTTGCACTTGACCATCTGCCTTTAACCATCATTTGAAGATAAACTAAACTCTGAACCCCATCACTAAATTGGAAACCATGCTCATGCTCAATGCAAACCCTTTACTACCATTTTTTAAAAAGAACAGTGGAAGTTTTGCTTTGCTCATGATCTGCTATGTGAATATTTAAACATGTATTTAGATATAAATGTGAGACCAGTGAGTGGTGTGGCCTATTGGCTGCTGGAAGAAGAGAAGCAACGCAGGAAAAGTGGAAGGACACAGGACACTTCACGAGCACAACTGGAAATTGAGAGACTGAAAATCCTGAATCAGATGAAATATGCTGACCCGACAAGAGGTGGGAATGTGCCCCCGATCAACAGCCATCGTTTCCTGCAGCTTTTCTATTGTTTTACTGATCAAGACAAAATGCTAATCTACTGACATGGTTTGAGAAACAATTTCCATTTCAAAATAAACTTTGTTGAAAACGGTGTGTTAGAAGCCGTGTTATATTTGAAATGGAAGCGTTTCTCAAATCCATGACTGGTAATCAACTGCATATTAAATTCATAGATTGCTTAGCCTTAACCTGCAAGGCACCTGCTGACAAATAAAATGATTCAGTATTGCGATGATCCTTGATGAGAAATATTGAATATAATATTTATTTATGAATATTTTTATAACCATGGATATTATGATTCCCTCCTCCCCCCCACCAATACTGTTAATCCACCAATGAATAGCCCATGTTAAATCAGGGTTTATTTGTGTTTAATTGAACAAATAATATTTTTGTTGATCTTGTGGTGATTTACAAATGTCTTGTCTTGCAGAGCCAATTAGGCGTAGAACAAAGTGCTTCAAACTAATTGTGCATATGTGACTTGCATATGTAGAACATCACTATAGTTACTCTGTTGCCAACATATAATAAAATATACCTTGGCGATTGTACATGCCAATTAGCAGAAACTTAGCTGAATGATTATTGGGTTATTGGTCACAGTTTAATAATGGTGTTCATTATCTGCAGTTGCAGTGACATCAAGACAAAGCATTTCTGGCTTCACAAATGTTCAGTTACAAAATCAGTAGAACTGGTCTTTTTTGTAGTAAGCCATGATTGAAAGCTTATAGTAATTAAAATACAGTGATAATATTCCCTTGTGCGTGTGGAGGAAGTTAAACAGTTTTGGTACAGCTTAACTCGTGGAACCTTAAAAATTTACAGTAAGTGAGTCCTTTGGCACTGTGCTGATTCTTCTGAAAGAACTTTCCATTTAGTCCCATTCTTCTGCTTTCTCTCGAAACTCTTTTACTTTTCTTCTTTTTAAGATATTTATATAATTCCCTCTTCTAATGTAATATAGATTCTGCCTCAGCCACTTCTGGTAGGAAATTTCACGCCCTAAGAATTCTGTGTGTGTGCGTGTGTGTTGAAAAAAATTCTCCTAACCTCTCCCATTTTTTGGTAATTACCTTAAACTTATTCCTTTAATTACCAAAGATCTGACGAACTGAGTCATTTGTAGGGAGAATGTTGGGCTGGATTATTTGTGATTAAGGATCTGTGCCTTGGTTTATTTATAGGTGACATAAAGACCAAAGTCTCAGATAGTGCATGGATTAAGAACAATTCTGAGCAGCAACCTTCCTACCAAAAGGAGCTGCTGCTCTCCGATTCTGAGCAGGAACGACAGAGAATTCTCCAAGAGATGCGTAAGAGGGCACCATATCTAAGCGATGAGTGCTGGATCCGGCAACGTAGTGCCAGTGTTGTTAACAAGAATACACTCGTGAATTCTGGATCATTGCGCAGGTATGAAAAGCATTGAAGCAACAGTTATAAGCTCAATATTTATAACTCTGCTTACTATACAATATTTAGACAGTTTTGGGTTTACTTTTTGCTTAACTCACCAATACAAAACTTCTTAGGATTGATGCATTAATACCAGTTGTACTGTTTTGCCATCTCACTCAAATCTATTGTGCTGTGGAGATGGAGAAATGGAACAGTTGGGAGAATGCAGCTTTTCACCTTTCCAAGCTCCCATCAATGTCTTCACTCCTGCAGACCTGAACTCCTCAACCTCACTGGGCTCTCTCTCACACTCACCGAACCAATGCGCAACCTAGGCGTTCGATTCGATCCCCAGCTGTCCTTCCTCCTCCACATTCGGTCCCTGACCAGGACCACCTTCTTGCAACTCCACCACATTGCCCGACTCCGACTGTAACTTCCCCCAAATGCAGGCAAAACCCTCGTGCATGTGTTTGTCACCTCCCGCTTGGATTACTCAAATGCACTCCTCGCCGATCTTCCAAGCTCCATTATTCAAAAAGTCCAGCTCATTCAGAACTCTGCCACCTGCATTCTGATCCAGATCAAACTCTGTATCCACATCTCACCAATTCTGGCCAGGCTCCACTGGCTCCCCATCATCAAACGGATTGACTTCAAGATCCCTCACACTAGTGTTCAAATCCCTTCACTCTCTGGCACCTTCCTACCTCTCCAACCTCCTTACCCCCCAATCCAGCACCCTGCACCTCCGCTCGACTGGCACCGGCTTCCTGCTCGTCTCTCGCACCCTCCGCCCCATCATTGGAGGTTGCGCTTTCAGCCACTACGCCCCAAAACTCTGGAACACGCCTCCGCCTTGCCCCCTCACTCCCTTTTTTCTAGTCCCACCTGAAAACCTTCCTCTTCGACCGTGCTTACAGCCACCTTCCCCCCCCCCCACACCCCCCCCCACCTCCGCGCTCCGCCTGAGACGCTACTCTGCGTGGAGGGCGCTATATAAGTGCAAGTTGTTGTCTCAGAGGGATGGCACACGGGCATTTCCACATGCTGATCCATTCTATATCTTTAGCTTGACTTAACAGGCTGTAAATTACCGTATGATGCTGCTGAAAATAAATATTGAGCTTATCAGCTTGAAATGATGGAAGACTTTTTAAAATATATTTTGTACATCACTGGGCTGACCGCATCAGATTTGTAATGTATTACATATATCAAACTTGATTTTAACCCTCTCCTCTGTCTGTGCTTGTGGATAATTTGTACAATCTGTTAGTCTTATTTTTCAACCGCATAGCTCTGAAATAACAAGGTTGCTTTTCAATGGTTCAGTTTCTCTTCCAATTTAGCATTTCTGTCTGTCTCTTATCGGAGAAAGTTTTATAAACTTCTACAAAGTAGCTGTATGGGTCTCAAAGCCTTCATTAAGCATCAAATGATCTGAAGATTACCATGAAATTATGTAGGCAGCCTTGTTGAACCTCTGTTTTGTATGTAAATGTTTATAGTGTTGGGGTTCTCAATCTTACCTTCTGCCACTCCCAACATGGAGCAAAATAATATCTAGGTTATTATTTTTGAATTTGAACTGTGCACAGTGTGATGCTGTTTCAGTAGAATGAGCACAAGTCATGGCATTTCATGGGAATGAATGTTCTCCAGAACATAAACTGTAAGGTTGCAGGCAATATTCCCCCAATGAGGAAATACAGAAGCAAGCAAAACCAAAGTTGACCATTTTCTTCTATTTCAAAATCTTTTAGGAGTGCTTTGAGATGTTTTGAAGATGTGAAAAGGCACTGTATCAAATGCAAGGATTATTATTATAGGGTTGAGTTGACATCATTTCGCAGAACAGAATGTTATCTATGACAGTCAGTCTACGTGTATTAAAACCTGTTTAGAATTCTAGATCTAATTCCATTAAAATGATGACTTTTTTTATTCCAGGGGTGAGTCTTTGGATAACTTGGATGCTCCAAAAACACATTACTGGGGATCAACATCCTCAGAATCAGAATCTAATCGCCACCGAATCTCCACCTCAACCCGACCTTCTGAGCACTCTCCATCATCCACTTTACCACCTCCATCCACTAGATCAGTAAAAAGAGGATCTTGGTCTCCGGCCCCTTCAATGGCCCCATCTGCTGGCCCAAATCAGTTCGAAGAAGGGAACAGGTAGGATTCTGCACTTCATTTGGGTGAAAAACTTGTTGCATATTAACCTGGTTCAGTATTATAATATAACTGTGATTCCTGGATAATTTATTTGGGTGTAATGGGAATAATTGGTTTATTGAAAACTAGTTGACAAAATGGTTTAGTGATACAATAATTTATTATAAATAATGCATTTTACTAGATTTGCATAATCTATGTATGGAAATTTTCCATACATTTATTAATGTCCCAGTCTCCCTTTTCTAACCATGATTTGTGGTTTTAATTGTTTGATTAGAGGCAGCCCGGGAGCTGGTATGTTGGGTAGATGGACATTAATGATAATAAAAGGTTTATGCATCTGCTAAAGGGCTTTAGGTATCTGGCGGAGTCTGACCCCTGGCTTGGGGTCAGACTCCGCCACTGTCAAGAGCTCCAGGACACTACCCTGCGTGAAGAGCACTATATAAATGCATCTTGTTCTTGTTTTTGTTGCTATTCATGTCATTGAACCTTAGAACTTAAGGATAGGTCATCGAGAGAATTTTGAACAGAAGGTCTGTCCAAGGTTTCGAACCTTTAACCTGTAATAGTAAAACATACATTCATGGCAATAGGTGCAACTAAATGGGCAATAAATGTTTTATATGAGGAGATTCGTGTACTGCTGTAAATCTTTCATACTTAATATTCTCCCCTTTCTGAGTTGTGATAAACATTTGTAGTACATGTTGTATTTTACAATTTCTTTTTACAATGTTACCTTTATTGGTTAGAATGGTATTGTGTTTGTCTGAATATAGGTGTACCTCTGAGATTTTAACAAGATTCAGAGTTTCAAATAAAATTTTCTATTCCATCTTCTGGAGCCAACGAAGAAAGAGATGTACAAACCTGCATACACACACTTAATATTCAAGCTTTTAAGCTTCTAAATTATGCACATATTTTCTTTGTACAGTTTATATGAAGTCTTTTATTTGTGCGTGTGACCATACCGAGAGGTTAAACTATCTGATTTAAATTGTGAAATATCTGTGTGGAGTCCTGTAGCTCAGTGGTTAGAGCACTCGCCTTGCAAGCGAGAGACCTGAGTTCAATTCCAGGCAGGGCGAAACCTTGGGCAAGTTTCCTTACTCCACACAGAGCCTAATAATAATCCCTCCAAAACCCAAAACAATAATAAATTGGTCATTTTCAATCCATGACTGTTTGTGCGACACTACTGTGCGCAATTGGCTGCCGCGTTCACCCACAAATATACAGTCAATTCACTTTACAGTATATTCTGTGAAGCGCTTTGAGACGTCTAGAAGACGTGAAAAGCGCTATATCAAATGCAAGAATTATTAATATTATTATTATATCTGCACTGGTTACAAATCCTGGAACTAGCTTGTAAAATTAGAGCCATTTTCACTGGAACAGAGAAGGGTAAAATGGGAGTAAAAAACAATTGTAGTTGATTTTGAAAAGATAAATATTAAAAGGTTATTCTCACTTGTTGTTGAAATTATCAACTAAGGGACATAGTTAAGATCAGAACTATTAGAATTGAGGGAGAGGTTAGAAGAAAATTTCATGCATATGATTATTAGGTCAAGAAATGCTTTGTCACAGTGCCTATTGAAGATGAAACTATAAGGTTTAAAGGGAGCTGGATAATTGTATGAAGAGGGGCAGCATAAAAGGGTATTAAGGAAGCGTACGCTTGGTGGTTGAGTATATAACTCCAGTTGAAGATTAATACCATTATTATAAGCTTGCTGATTCAAATGGATTTGATTTCATCTTGTAATTTTGTATGATTGATTTTTAATTCCATTTCTAGGTCCATGCTACTTCTACTGGGTGACCAAAAAGTTGTGATACCATTACAATGTCTAATAAGTCTTAAAGAACTGATGATATCTTTGTTTTTAGATAATAGGGTAGATATCATGACTTTTTGCTCACTTTGTACTTCTACTTTGTTGATGACAATCTTTGGATTACTGATACATTAATTATCTTTGGCATCCCAAAGCATTGGTGTCAAATACTTGCATAAAATATTCATATAGTTGGTCCCTATTTTTGTTTTGTATCCAGGTCAATAAGTGGAAAGAAGATCTGTTCATACTGTGATTGCCCACTAGGCAAAGGAGCTGCCATGATCATCGAAACTCTTGGTCTATGTTATCATTTACAATGTTTTAAGGTGAGGCTAGGGACAAGCTATGAGAAAGGGGGAATCCTATTAAAAACATGGTAAGGGATGCCTGCATGAATCCATGCAAATTGCTTACGCCATAGACAGATTCATTAATATAAGGATTATAATTGAAGACATAAATTTAGAATTGCTTACTTGCAACTTGCTTTTGGGGCCATGTTTCTGATTGGGCTCTGCATCTTATAAAGCAGCATTTTCTATGCCATACTAACGAGTGCCAAGAACCTACAACCCTAACTCTGATTCTATTTCAGATTGGCATAATTCATGATTATCTGCTTGTGCTTCTTTCACAATTGATGACCTTTGATTTTTCAGCTAATGCAGAAGGCACCTGTATCATCCCTGCCACCTCTGACCTATTATGTTGTGCGCCTTCTGTTATTCAGTAAATTTGCCTCTTTAAATTGATGGCTGTTGCTTAACCCTTCACCTGCTTATTAATTCTTATATTTTCACATTCATTAACCCACTGAATGATGCTTTGATTCACAGTGCAGCGTGACTCGGCCATGCACTGTTAGTGTTTTAAACCCTTGGTGATTGGTATTGTCAGTAAAGTGACCCAAGACTGTATCCATTTTGCAAAGCTGCATACGTTGATTCTAAACATTTCTATAATGTTTATAAATCAGTTTCTTATTGCCATCCACATGAATGTTGATTGTTTTTATTTGCCCATTACAGCATTTTTGACTTCTTTGGCAATGTCCCCCGTAACATCCACTCAGCTCTTAACCAGGAGGCACATGTCCTGTAAATTTTGTTGTGCTCAACCACAAATAGGAAACATTGATTGTTTCCCCTCCTTCTCACTGTCCAATTGAAATTGGGAATTCACCATGTTACAAATTACAGCCACTGATTTTGTGTAGAATAGGTCAGTTAGTATAATTTATCAGTTAAGTTTCCAGTTGTCAAAATGGTGAAATGATCTTCAAAGATAATTTGGGGTCTTATTTGATACACATTTTTAAAAATTCTTTGACATGATTTAAGTAGTTAATGACAGCTCAGGTTGTTCTTTAAGTTATTAATATTGTAGTTCTTCTCTGTTTTCTTCATCTCCTGCCAAATAATAGGCGAGTAGCTTATCCCCAGGCTTTTGTCAATCACACTTTGTAGCCATTGCAGAAGAAGAGCAGCATTAGCAGCTCATCCCTTTGATGGTCCGTCCCTACGAGGAATAGCCGGACCGTTGTGCTTCTTTCCACAAACTTTCGTGGGTCTTCCATCACTATGTTGTACAGCCAATTTTTGGCCATGAAACTAAATTTTAATCCAACCTATGTAAGACAAGCAAAAGGCACATGGTCGTATAGTTTTTCATTTTTTTTCTTTAACCTCCATCGGTTGTGTCGTGGTCTGGAGGGATCTAACTAAGTTGTCTTGTTTCACACATAGTGCATCTCATGCAGCACTGATCTTGGAGGTACAGAGGCAGGGGCTGAAGTCAGAGTACGGAATCATAAACTCTACTGCAATGCCTGCTACCTGCACATCAAAGGTATGTCTGAGATATTTGTTCATAACCTCCCATAACAACAAAATTACATTTGTATAGCGCCTTTCATGTCGGGAGGATGTCCCAAGGCGCTGGACAATCAATGTTTCGGACCCGAGATGGGGGTTGGGATCGGGGAGGGTAGAGGGCAGAGGGGGCCGAAGGCACGGTTAAAGAGGAGGGTGTTGAGAGGAGTTTTGAAGGAGGCAAGGCAGAGGGTGAGGCAGAGACACCGAGGGATAGAGTTCCACAACAACAACAACTTGGATTTATATAGCGCCCTCCACGCCGGACGGCGTCTCAGAGCGTTCCTGAGGGTGGGGGCAGAGTGGCAGAAAGCCCGCCCACCAATAGCGAGGCGGGGGACGTGAAGCAAGCTGCAGCCTGCTAAAGTGGCAAGAATAAGATTCTGAATATCCATTTTACGGTTATGCACTTTTTATGCAATAATTTAAAAAAAAAAAAAAAAATTGGTCACTTAATCCACGACTATTGGTGGGACACTGCGTATGCAATTGGCTGCTGCGTTTCGCCCCCAAAATATACAGTCAAAATATTTACAGTATATTCTGTGAAGTGCTTAGAGACGTGATAAGGCGCTATATCAAATGCAAGGATTATTATTATTATTATTATCATCAAGTTTAAACTCTTAAAATCTCAATTTAAAACTATTAATAGACATTTTCTGTTCGCAACTTTTTGAATTACTCTGTACAGCTAGGGAATATATATTACCTGTTATCCCCATTGCCTCCCTGAGTTCTTTGGGTGTGCTTGAACAGTGAGCGTCACTGGGCTGTTTGACTGGAAGAGAGAAAATATATCTCCTCTAAGCTTAATTCCCAGTTCCGTTCTTTCCAGGTGGGTCATTTGGATAATAATCGAGACCAGGAGTGCTGGCTAATTTGCCACCATCTCCATGCACGTACTCTGAAATCAGCAAATTAACACAAATTTTGAGTGGCAGACACTGGATGTCTGGGTGTTGCATTATTGAGAATCCAAACATTCATTCGAAGTATAAAGGGTATAAATAACAAGGTGATCTCATAAAGCAGAGAGGAGAAATAGCGCAAGATGACTGTGCGAGGTGTGAAAATCTTAAAAGGATAGTCACTATGTGATTTTGTTACTCTTTTTCTGTGCCTCTTCTTGCTTTGAAAGGATTGAAAGCTGATCTGGCACTTACTGTCAGCACTGTGTCAGAGTACCCAAAGTCTATTGTACTGAAAACTGAAAATTGTTTAGGGAAATATAACCCAGGGGAGGATAATTATAGTCCCAAAATAAAGCTGCACTGAGATCCATTATATTGATGTATATATTGTCTACACTGTCAAAGCACTATGAACAGCTTTGTGAAATTACACATATAATGCAACACTCAAACAAGCATTTATAAATTTAGCAGTGTTAAGCCATGAGCTGTTCTTTGCACTCTGCAAGGATCATATGAAATGAAATCCACTTTACAAAGTACATTCCAGAATGCAGAAGAATGCAATCTATTTCAGGACTGTCCTGGAGCTTTTTGCTGCCCTGCTGGAGGGCATTCAGAAAGACTGCTGAAGTTAATGGGTTTAAACTATCCTTTTACTTTCCCAACAGCTGGACAGACAGTCACCATGTGAGAAGAGACCCAGTGAAACAAAGACACTGCTGCACATCAAAGAAGAAGATGATGATCTCGACCTCAAAACTCTATAAGTAACCTAACTGCAGACACTCCACCTAAAGGAGAATATTTCCTTTGGACAGCCATTATATATCAAATAACATGAATTCTTATTTCAATTTTTAAACTTGATTTTAAAAAATACTATCTAAAGTTGGACTGGAAATAGGGTGACATTTTGATGAAAGACAACCTTAATTATCTTTTTTTCCTTGTGAATTCAACGTGTACAGCAGATAAGGGAATGCATGATGTATATTATACATAATGTGTATTAGTGATTTATAACTTTTCATTTATTTATCAAGCTGATGACCTGGTAGTTGATGGTTCAAGGCAGCCAATTTTGCTTTATTTTGTTCATTTTAGTTCTTTTAGAGCTGACTTCAAATGGTTTCTATCTATAAATATATTGCAATCTAACTATGTCTGTATGGACTCTTTCAAAGGTCTGAAATACAAGGATCTTCACATTGCAATGAGATTAAGGACTTTTGTTTGCTATCTCTACATATTTTATGTTTCATTGGGCAGGTAATCATGGAAAAGCTCAGTCTTACCGAGAATGAGGTGCAGGTAAAATAGGATGAGGCAGTATATGGTTTGTTTTTAATGTATAGACCTCAGACTTAAAGGAGCTTTTAAGGTATATAGCCAGTAATTGATTTACTCTAGACATACTCTAGACACAGTGAGCAATTGATAGCCAGTAAAATGTTTTCCAATAAACAATGTATAAAAGGAAAAAAATTCCATTCACTTTTGTGTTGACTTATGTTTATAAATAAAATGAATAAATCTGCAAACTGTTTTGAGTTTAATGTTTAACTATTTCCATAAGGTTTTGGATTCACTGTCTTTGTTCGAAAGCTGGAAGCCATTTTAATGAATGCATGAATCCTGATTCTCATCTGGAATCTATACTGAAGCTCTAGGATGTGGGTTAGTGGGGAGATACACAGGCTCACAAACCCTAATCCACTTGAAAGAAGAGTGAAATGAGGTTTCCATTTGATACCAAATGCATTTAATATTTTCAAAGATTGTTAGATGGTTTTGAAAAGGACAAGAGTTTTTGAGACATTTCATAAGCAAGAACACATCGAGGACATATTTTGTGGCATATCAAATATATGATGCATGATCTCAGAGTTTTCTGTGGATCTTATGCACTCTTCACCGTTCTATTCATTTTGATCAATATGCTACCTGGTTGGATACAGTGTTGTTTGTCAATGACGAACTAGTAATTATACTCCTTGGAGTGCAGATAAACAGGGTATCCTTGGAGCTGAACTAGCTCCAAGGTGTGAACTTGGCATTGGAATGTCGGAATCGTGACAACCTTTGGTAATGGATTTGACAGTCCAGTTCCTGATCCAGGTGGATCCGCAGTACTCCAGGGCACTACTGATATGATGACAGCCCTGACAGCCTGGCTCATCGATAGGACTTGGAAGGGCAGACCAGTTACTGTGGACAGGAATTCTTTCCACTCAGCTCCTTTTAGTCCTGCAAATCAAAATTCTAATGGGTAGGGAGGTCCAAGCTGGACAAGTAGCAGAAAAGCTTGCCAGGCAGTGCTCTCAGGGGCAAGTAGTGCAGATCTGGTTGGTTCCCCAATGCATACTCTGAGGTCCCTAAGCCTTGGCTCTTGCTAGCTTGTGCCTAATATTCTGGAATTATGCATCTCTCCAAGGAGAGATTGCACAATCCATTCCAACACATGGGGCTTTCTATGTGTGGGTACAATTCATGAAACTCTGTTTGGTTTGGATACTCTTAAGCATAGTGATGGGTTTCCACACGTGGGAGACCAAAAAACGAAGGCTGTAGTGATGGGTGACCCCAGTGGTCTACTCTGGGTCTACATGACTCCAGGAAGGACCTCCTTTATTAATTGGGAGCCTCGGGGGCATCTAATGCATTCGATACAATAATGCAATTTACATTTCAATAGGGCCTTTCATGTCATTTTTTGATCAATTTAAATCAACATCTAGGGAACCTGATAAACACTGTTCAGACATTATGTGGGACAGTGCTGAGAAGGAAGAGCTCTTTAGTTTTTCATCTCCTTCCAAGCTGATCAAAGTCCCACTGGAGGTTAAGCTTGCTACAAGTGATACGATACAGTTCTCCTTCATGGATTTTGAGTTATTGGTATGTAGCAAAAAGGTTTCCTACAGCCATACAGCAGATCGATGAACAAGCGGTGAGAGGAACTTTAGGTACAAAAGAAGACAGCTGCAGGAAAGGAGGGTTGGAAGCAGTTATTGTGACTCCACACACGAGAGGATGATCTGACCTGAGACCTCAGAGGCTTTTGCCAAAGCACTGCACACAAGGAGCTAGGTTAAACTTTAAAAGGAGTGGCAGAGCCGAGAGACCTAGGAGTTTATGTACACAAATATTTAAAGGTGAGAGGGTAAGTTGATAAAGTTGCAGGAGAAAAAGCTGATGGAATCCTAAGTGTTATAAAGCGAGACATGGAATAAATAATCCTTACATTTGATATAATTCCTTTCATATCTGGAGGATGTCTCACAGCGCTTCATAGGATTTATTATGAAGAGTTTTGATATGTGCTCCTGTTATGACAGGAGCTACAAATGTAAATGTTATTGTTTCTAACTATTAGTGACTATAGGGAAAAGCGGCAGCCAATTCATGTACATTATTAAGGGTTTTGATAACGCAAACAGTGAGAAATTCTTTCCATTCCCTCCAGTGAATCAATATCTAGGAGGCATAGATTTAAGGTAATGATCAAAAGATCAAAAACCCTTTTGGTTAGGAACAATTATTTTACACAGTGGCTTGTTTGAGATATGGAATTCCCTACGTGGAAGAATCCATGTTAGCTCTTCATGTGTATTTGATACATTTCTGAATAATAATAATCCTTGCATTTGATATAGCGCCTTATCACATCTTTGAGACGTCTCAAAGCACTTTACACAATATGCTGTAAAGTGTATTGACTGTATATTTTGGGAGAATAGGAGAAATATAAAAGATATGGTAAAAAGACAGGAGAATGGGGCAAAATGGATAGCTACTTCTGACAGCCAGCACAAGCTAAAGCAGTTGATGTCCATCAAGCTTGTCATCACTGTGGTCTACATTCAAGGTGGCCTTCAATGTCAGGGTTGCTTTCAGCATGAAAATGAAAGCTTGGAGGGGGAGTGGTTAGCTGCTAAAAAGCATTCCCTTGAGCATGTGCACACACTGAAATCTGGGATTCAGCAGTTAAGCTTCTGATAAACTTATGTTCTGCAAGCATAGTGTGTCCTGGCAGTGGTTGCACAGTATGGGACTATCAAATAGAAAATCCTGCTTTTCTGAGTTCTCTGGTACTGGAGACTGAAGTCTCTGAAGCCTAGTCAAGGGGTCTCTCTGTGGGCCAGATGTTTTGCTGATTGTTGGAATTTGTGAATGACAAAAATAAAATGTTTCAGATTGCAGGCATCTCTGCCAGTCAGCAGTTTATAGATCAGCGAACGTCTTGTATACTTACAAATGAGAGGTTTGTAAGAAGTGTCTTAAATACAAAAACTGATGTCCAGTGCCTGAGTTGAAATCTCAACATTTATATCAGCAGCGGAAATAAATGAAGTCGTTTCTAAACTACATAATTCTATTGTGCCTCCTTATTCCTTTATCATATTTATGGTTTAAATAAAATCATAACTCTAATAATATACATGAGTTATATGGGTTAAATACAATCAGAATTTATAAATAAAATATAACCATAGCCCATAAGTATTTGGCTTATATTCAGCCTCCATTGTAAACTGAAGCAGCTTTAAATTTCTTTGAAAAATGTCCATGACCATTGTATAAATTATTGCTGATCGTCTTATTCACAGTAGTTTGAACTTGAGTACACACCATGACTCACACTGGCAAATACATAGATCATAATCTTTCTCAGCTCTGTTACGCCTCATTGTTATACAATTTGAGGATTCTTGTGAAATTTTACAAGGCCTGGTTGAATTTTGAACTCGCTGCCGGTATTTATTGTAGTCTCATCATTTAATTAAAATTCAAGACCCTGACAACAGATATTGGAGAGCATTCTCTTACAATATACTCACAGTCACAGCACTTTACAGTATACCTTGTGAAGTGCTTTGAGATACCTCGACAACATAATAAGGTACTATATCAAATGCAGGCATTATTATTATAAAATTCAAGTGACTAATTCTGGGTATTGAAGAGCAGTTACTGATATTTTGGTACCCTATAATGTGTGCATTAAGTAGGCAGTTCCTAAACGATCAAAACAATCTGCTTCTTCTCAAAATGGTGGGTGCAGATCTGGTTCCCAGTATAGAGATTCTTCAGTGGGACTGCCATCTTGTGGGTGAATTGCATAATTTATTTTAGGAAAACCTTGTTGCACTTTTCTTTAGAGTGAGTTTAGATTTATTTGGTATTATTCCCTTTGAATAATGCATTCTCTGCTATTAAATTTAGAATGGTTTTGAAGGCTTGCTTGATGATCCAATACTTTTGTCATTGTCTGTGTGATTTTTGTGAGTGTTTTTGTTTATAAGCTTAAGTTTAAACATTTTATTTTTCTTCTGCTTGAATTCTTCATTTTCCTCTTGTTACTTTGTTTATTTGTATAGTGTTACCTGAGACAGTTCATTTTTAACTTTTGCACTGCATGGTTTCTGAAGCATATGGACGTTTTTCTATTTCACCAATAAAATGTAGAAACGTTTCAAAGTTTGTCAGTCTGGCTCAGTTGGCAGCACCGTCAACCTCTGAAACAGAAGTTTGTGGGTTCAAACCCCATGTCGGGACTTGGAATTCATATAGTTTAGGCTGACACTTCAATGTGGCATCTTGGCCAATAATCCTCTAATAAAATTAATCATTCACATCATGGTTAGTTGTGGGACATTACTGTGCACAAAATTAGCCGTCATGTTCACTTACAAAACACCGTCACTGCACTTTACAGTAAATCCTGTAGAACGCTTTGAGACGTCCTCCAAACATGAAGTGCACTGTATCAAATGCAATGATTATTATTATAAAGCAGAATGGTTACTTTAATTCCTTATCTCTTTTATCTTGTGCTTTAGTGGAGTGAAAATCACAACTTGTGAAGTGTTCATTAACTGGTGATAATTTAACGTTGGCATTAATGGATATTTAGAAACATACAGCTAATGTGGTCAATTAATAACTAAAAACATATGACCTTCCCCTACCCCACCATTCTGATTCCATCACAATAGGTGGGCTCAAAGCTAGCCCACGCTGTGCATTGGATTTGTATCAGAATAGCAGCTGAACTCATGTTTTTTATTGAGTTAATGAACACATCACAAATTGCAGTTCCAAATAATTTCTTGAGTTCTGTAAGTATAATTCAATGTGTGTTTGATGTCAAAAACTATTTACAGGGAGTCATTTAGGTTGCCTAACTAATGGAGTCAAACATGGAGATAGAGTTAAATATAGAATTGCTTCCTTCAGGAAGTTTGCTCTCTCACTAGCCCTGTGAAGTCCTTTATATCAATAGTTGTCAAACACTGGACAACTAAGTAACTGTTTTGACCCAACCTATTAAAGAAGTATTTGATTTTAAGTACTGCTGCAGGAGAATTATTAATAGTAACTTAACCTCGATACCTCTGCTAATAATAATAAAAATAATAATCCTTGCAGTTGATATAATGCTTTTCACGTCTTTAGACATCTCAAAGCACTTCACAGAATATACTGTAAAGTGAATTGACTATATTTGTGGGTAAAACATGGCAACCAA